AGCTCTAGTTAGTAGACAAAATGCTTGTGTTGAAAAGAAACTATCTTGGGATGCTGTTTATGGCAAAATGAAAAATTGCCGTGACCTATACAGGTTATATTTTGAGTCAAAGTGTCTTATATATAACCTTTCATTTCCTGCTGAAAAGTGAAAAAAGGGGATTTCACAGGAAAGTTTACTGTTGAAAAATGGAGAAGCAATGCTGACATTTAATTCCGCTCCTTATTATTCTAAATTAATATGATCTGAATGATATGAATATACATCATAATTCCTTATATAATAAAGAAATAAATATTTGAACATATATATTCAAATATAGAATTATATATCATAATTCTATGATTCTATGAAATGACCATCTGCCATATTCAAGCTCAGTTTTGAGCTATGAGTTTATGAAGTCTCACTATGTTTTTATTTAGGAATGTTTCTATTACTTGCAAGGTGGGGAGGGGAACAAATATCTTGCCAAGATTGCACTGTGTTGGTGCGATCTGCTTGTACCATGATGGCCCCGGTACCTACTGTACTGAATCCACGGAGACTGGCCTCAGACAGACTTACCTGTGCTTGCAGTGATCTTCACTGTTCACAGAACATGCAACAGAGAATTTAAGTAAATTGATTTACCTAAATTAATTTAAGTAAACTTGATTTCCCTGCTGGTCCAAGAGAGGGCAGTGTCACTCAGACACCAGCTGACATAACAACAAAAAAAATACAAACCCATTTGTTCCAGGTGTGCCCTCAGCTCATAGAACAACAGGTGTCCTGTGGGAATGCTGCCAAATCTACATACCTACAGCAAATCAAAGGAACAGCAGCATTATAACAGGATGGCAGGAAAATATGACAAACCTCATTTTCCTTTTGTTTCTAGTCCTCACTAGTTTTACCTTCCACAGCCCTTGCAGCAAATGCTGGCAGGCAGCAGGTCTGGGCTGCCCCAGATTAGAAGGTGCTTGCCAGCAAGTTTTCCCTCCTGCACAGAGGGTGACCTGGCCAAGCGCAGCTGCTGACCCCCAGTATAGCATGGGGACAGTCAGAGTTTTCTTTACTTTTGCATAATAGGAAAAGAAGCACCCATTAATCTCTGATTTATTTTTTTTTTTTCCCCCAAAGCATCAGAGGCGACGAGGGAAAGGGAACGATGGTGTTTACCAGGTAGGCAACACATGCATCATCTATCTTCACAGCTTAATCGTAGCCTCCAGATACTTAAACTAACCACAGTGTTCACAATGATGAGGCAGAGCTTTTGAAGCGCCTTTCTGAGGATATTTACTTAGATTCAGAGCAAAGACCACACTATTGTGACTTTATCAAAATTGGCTGCATGCTCTAAATATGACTGGCAGGAAAACTCATTTAGGAATACTGTCAGGAACCATCTCCACAGTCCTGCAGCCTGGAGAATCACCTTGGACTACGGAAGGTGATGCATATGGTTTAGGCTCTGAATTGCTTTTTGTTTAAATAGAAACCTTCAGGTTGCCAAACAGCTGTTGGAACTCAATAGTCAGTGGTTCAGCCCATCTCACTACAGTGTGCAGAGCACAAACTGATCACCCCTTGGTGCACTGGGGGCGTTCAGTGTTGCCCACACGTAACGGAAGGCAAGGAGCCCACCATGACACCTTGCTTGTGACACCATGCAAAATCGTTCCAAAATGCATTTCACATCCTGTAGAAGCCTGTATGTTGCCACTGACATCACATTACAAAAATAACTTTTTTTTTTTTAAAACAAAAAGTCCTGATGCAGCACATGCCAGGGAGTTTTCCTGTTAATGCAGAGTATTTGTAACTAGTGGTACCTTTCTTCAAAACCTGCTCTCCTGAGATAGTCACAGGTACTACTAAGGTAAGGAGCACTATTTTACTGATGTACTCAACAAACAATCATAATATTTCTGAGCAGAGCTAAATATTCATAGCAGAGGTGGGAAGGGCAGCTAGAAGGTTTAAAAGCAATCACCATACCTCTTGCTATATCCTCAGTCTTGAGAGTCCCAGTTACCTTGGCTCTGGCAGCATTTTTGGGTTGCCCTGTTTTTGACTGCTCTACTCTTAGAGCAGCCAGCGCCATGGAGGCAGCAGGGATACACACACGGAACTTGCACGCTTTGTAGCTGACTTACCAGCAGCAGGAGCAGGCTGTCAGAAGATGGACTGCTGCATTGCAGGAAGCAGGGTGCCGGGGTGCGCTCCTCAGCGTTCACAGCCAGCTGAAACCCTGTGGCCAACTTACCCAGAGTTGCAGCTGCCTTTCCAAATTATTATGGAGAAATCCTGAGAAAAACTTTCATGATTTGATGTCTGTTCATTTAGTTGGCAAAGTTCACTTTAGCGTCAGTTAGTTAGCACTTAGTAGTCATGTAAAGATCTGCATAACGTGTTAAAATGAGTTGCTGTAATCAAACATTCATAACGGATACTTAAGATGCATCTTGCTTTTGTGTAAGTGATGGTTATTGACACCATAACAAGACAAAGGGAACACTCATGAGTAAAAAAAACCTCTGTGGGGGGAAGAAAAAATCCAAACTATGCTACTGAGTGCCCCTGCCACCTTGTTCCTGACTAGGCAGTCATCTAAGGGGAACAAAACACCTCACCTGTTTTTCTCTTTTTCAGGGGCTCAGTACAGCAACCAAGGACACCTATGACGCTCTCCAAATGCAGCCTTTGCCACCCCGATAAGCAGGAATCAGAGGGGATGGGCAAGAGTGAGAGATGCCCACATGCTCTGGGGGAAGAGAGGAGTGAAGGCCTTTTTCAACCAAAAGAAGCACCATCTAGTTTCCTAGTGCAGCAATCTATTTCGGTTGGTGCACAGAGGGAGTATGTCTGGACTTGGTCAGTTCCTTCTCCTTTCCCTCTTGAATCACGCAACTGCAAGCTTTAGCTCTTAAAATGTACATATCTGTAAAGTTATTTCCAATAACAGTAGCTATGAGGCTGATTTTTGTAAGATTTGTGTTGTAGGACCCTACCATACCTAATGCAGCTCTTTCTGTAGCTCTTACCTTACAGGGCTATCAAGTCATGTAATTGCAGTTTCAATGCATTTAAAGACCCTTGTAAAGATAAGGGTGTAGTTATTTCCTGCAGTATTTATCTTAAGGGCATTTGACAACGGCCAGCTAAACTTTCTGCTTTAAATTTACCATTTAAAAACTGCTGCAGTGGCAGGACAAATTTTTTTCTTTAACTGTGAAAAGAGATGCAGTGTTACTGTAGTGAAGGACAGAGGCTCAGTGCCAGCTCTCCAGTATGAAGAAAATCAGTGCTAAGCTTCCACAAAAAAAATCAGGCCGTGGCATCGCCACTCATGCAGCACCCGGAGGTAAACAAGAGCCAGGTACCCTGTAAGCCATTGCTCAGAAGGCAGAAGATACGCCCTGCTACAGTGAAAAGAAGGAGCATGGACTCTGATTAAGAAAGCAATACTGGGAAAGCCAGGAAACCTCACCCCATAGAATCCCATCTGGCTGGAACGTGCGTCTGCCTAATGCCTTCCCCTTCACATTTGCAACACCTACAAACATCTCTGCAGAAGTCTCCCCTTGTAAGAATTTGTGCGCTGATGCTGATGTCAGAAATAAACAAAACAAAACACATCATGTCTGGGCAACACATTCTTTGTACAAAAGCCAATGTAAATGCAGCTGAAATGATTTGATTACTTTTAAAAGATGCATGTATCATTCCAAAATGGTAACAATTCAATAATGTAATGCATTTTTGATTAACTAATAAAGTTAGTGTCAAAGACCTGTGTGTGCGTGCATGCAGCGAACAGCTGCGGGAATGGTGTGAGCTCGTTAGCTGACCCATTCAGGCTGCCTGCACCAAGCAGCAGCAGCAGCAGCATAGGCTCCAGGCAGGCTGCTGGGGACAGTGTTCCAACAGGAGCATCTACATGCATCTTGGGAGGTGGTGGGAAGTGATGCTGGAAAAATGCTTTACGCCCAAGTATAAAAGCAACATTCACCTCTTGCTGCATCCTCAGTTTTGCCAGTGACTTACTTACAAGACTGTGTGATGAACGCCTGTAAGCAACTCAGCAAGGAGAAAAACAGCCCTGCAAAATAAAGGTTATTTTAACATAGGTCATCAGCCCAGACAGAGCGAGCAGAGCTAAAGCAGAACTGGGGGAATAGAAGCTGCCTGGGTGGGCACTGCCTAGGTGAGGTTACACGTCCACTTCTTACAAGACTAGGTTAGAAGCACAAAGACCTGAAATTGCTGCAATATAAGTTACAAGGCTATACCTAACTTCTTAAGCATTAAAACTATCTGCAGTTGGTGCTTGTATCTCTTGAATAATGTTTCAAAGACTGTAAATTAGCGCGCACACACAAAAAAGTGAACATCACATACCTGGCAATGAACGTGTCACAAAGAATTTCCAAGATTCCTTGCTGTTCTTTTTCTGCAGTGACAAGAAAAATCTAAGACAACTGAGCTAGTAAACTAGGTAAATTTGCTACTGCAAAGCACTCTTGTTATTGATGCAAGAACAATGAGTACTGAAAATGTCTTTTTTTTTTTCTTTCTTTTTAAATCATGTTACCATATTTGCAAGATGTAGAAGCTGAGAGTTTCAACAGTCTTAAAATGCCAACCTACTCATCATAGGGGAAGAAATTCTTAGGAAAAAAACAAAAACAAACCACCACCACCTTTATGCTCTTTTAAAGGGATCTCGATCTCAAAACACATCCAACACTTGTTCTGGGGACACTCACCGCAGGTGTCAGCTGAGTCTTCTCTTTGCATTCAGGAAGCAACTGAAGCTGTTTTTCTTTTAGGAGAGCACTCGTAATACAGAAGTAGAAAACAGCTTCAAGCAGAGTGTAAAAAACCTGGACTCACCTACATTTTGACAAGACAGAGCGCATGAAAGAACAACCTCCTGGCCCAGTTTGGTGCACCGGGGGGAAGGGGAACTAGCCTTCCCCTGACACATTTAAAAAACACGAACAAGTGCATACATGTTAAAACACTTGGAAAATGGTTTAATGATGTTTACAACAGAAATGAACTGTACAATTACAGTAAGTTTAATATATATAAAAAATTACAGCAGACAAATGCATCTACACAAAATCTACCTTTTCATTCTGATTTACTGTAATCTACACAATCTCTCAATGCCTACAGCTATCTGCAGGCAACCACTGGGAAAATAATAATAATAATAATAATAAAGGACATCTTTAAAGAGACAGCATTTCACCTTCCTCCTCACCCCTAGTGTGATCAGCAAGGTTTTGAAATGTGCGGGACTCTCACATTTCAGTCTCAAGAAAAGCTTGGGTTGCGTTTGGGTATGGGTGCTCCCACATGGCCCTCAATTTCAAGTGTTCTGCTGACCTGAAGGTACAAATGCAGTACATGAGGAAGGGCAAGAGGAAAAACTCCAAGCCAGAGTAAGCAGGCGGTTGCACAGAGTAGTTACACAAGACTGAAAATGTCTCAGTTCGAAAAAAAAGCAAAAAGGGACTGCCCAGACGCTACAGTCATTCTCAAATCGTCTCTCTGAAAACTACTGCCAGATTTAGAGGAGAGGGCTTGTTCTTCGACTCCCAATTCTTCATACAGAGGGTTAGTTTTCAAACTAACGCATTCAATATTTTTTTTTAAAAAACAAAATTTAAGCTACTTGCTCTTTGGCCCATCCCTTAAAAACACTGAAGAACCGTTTACTCTGAGAAAGAACCTCAGGTCCATGGGAAAATAATTAAAAGAATATGCTGTCTCTTTAAAAAGAAAGAAAGAATCCCAGTTGGGAGCGGCCGTCAGTGAAAATGCAATCCGAATTGGCGGTCTGGTGGAAATTCTTCATGGAATATTATGTACAGTTTAAAAACCCTTAGTTTTTTCTTTTATTATTTATGAACACCTAGGCAGTGAAAACCGTTATGTTAATACATACATAGACACACCCAAAACATACAAAAATACTATTATTTCAAACTACTAAGAATAGGACAAGTTCAGTTATCTCCATGCTATGACTTTAAGAGCATTACACTGAAACAAACAAGAATTTAAACGACAATTTTTTAATATCCCAGAAATATACCAAAATATACATCTAAGCTTTGGAATTACTGAGGTTAGACTAATGCAAGTGCTGGGTAATCGTACTTAATACACAAGTCTAAGGTTCTGCAGGAAAGAAATTATCTTTGGTATCTGCATCAGGCTAATAATATTAACATTTGGATTTTGCTTTGGGATAGAGCTTGTATGACCCTAGAACCAAACACCCCCCAATCAACTGAGATTAAAAAGATCCATGTAAAAAGTTCCTCCATTTGCAACCCCCCCCAAAAAGTTAAAAAGTCACAGGCATCTACCTAGCATAAAAGGTTGAGAAATACAATGCATAGTTGCACAGTGGTGCTGCAAAAATAAAAGAAATCTAGAAAAAAGGAGCTAGAGGAGAAAACGAAAAGCTTCTTCTTCTTCTTTCAGGGATTTCTCACAACAGGACAGCCTCTTCCAAGCAGTGACGGGGGGAGGGGGGAAGCTCAGAAGTGCACCTCAGCGTGTATTAATCAACGTCACCCAGCCCCCAGAGGGTTAAAGCACCCAGCAGAGCAGCCAATCCTGCACCCAAGCCTTCAGCTCCTCAACCCACCTGCGAAGCCCCCTCCCAGCGAGGCCTCGGGAGGTGCCCCCCAGCGACCAGCCGGCCTCGCAGGTGGGCTTGGTGCTGAAGACGCCCTTTGTCTTTGGTTTGTTTGTTTGTTTTGAGTTTATACAATCATTAGGAAATCTTTGGTTTTGGCTGGAAATTTTAAAAGAACAAAACAAAACAAAGAAACCGCCCCCTCCCGACTTATAGCAGCCACCGTGACCTGACAAAGCTTCTCTCTCCCAGGGGGCAGGGGAACTACATTCAAATAAAGATGGAACGGGTTCAGGAGGCAGCTTCTGGCCAGGCTGGGCAGCGGGGAAGGGATACAGGATTGTCAAATAATAAAGAAGAAAATTAAATATTTGGAGATTTTTCTTGGGTTCGGGGTTTTTTTGGTCGTGTCGGAAAGCGAGTAGCGTGTCTGCAGCGGGGGGCTGGGGGGCTGCCTGCGGGCTGGGGAAGGGCAGCGCAGCCCTGTCCCGCGGGCTGGGGAGGGGGGCGGATATTCACAGACTGATCAAGAGGACCCCTTGTAACCAAAGGAAATAAGATACGATTGCAATTTGCCCTCACTTTGCAGTAGCTTTTAAGCAGCGACATTCAGAGGCGTAAGGGGGTCGCTCCCCGGGCTGCAGGTCACGGGGTGCTATAGGCCAGAGTTCAGTGTTCGTCAGAGGAGGGAGGGCAGACTTGGCAACTCTGTAGGGTTTGGAGAAAGTTAAAGCAAGTTACTCGGTTACGAGTTAGAAATGAGGTATACGACAGCTCCTGTACCTGTGGCGGATAAACACCCCACACCTACTCACACCTAGCCTTAGACACTACCACAGAGGAAGGAAATGGAACAACGGCGCTGGCGGGGACGAAGAAGCTACCGCGTGGGTGCTCCCCACGGCCGCTGGCACACAAGGCGGGGGCCAGAGCGGCCCCAGCCCCCTTCGAAGCCCCCGCGGGCAGCTCTGCAGCCATCCCTTCCTACCCTTCCCTGTTTCGAAGGAAGGCCCGGTCCAGCACCCTGTGAACTCACAGGGAGCGGAGCCCAACGCCGCCTCTTCCTTGCGGCGTCGCTCCCTCGGACTCGCTCGGTGCAGGCAGCACCAGGATCACTGAGGCCGACACGTGGAGAGTGGATGGGGGAAGAACTCAAGGTTTTGTCTCAACTGCCTTGTTCTCAGGACACTGTCATTGGTGCTCTCATCCTTGATTATTTCTCAAGGGAGCTGTGGGATCGCCACTGCTTGCCCCTTGGCACACGGTTTCCAATGTCTTAGGATTCCTACTGCTCGATAATTTTAGATTTCTATAGCACCACAACATGCCAGCTTCATCCGCACTCAACGTTATCACATTCAGAGAATAGGGTTTAGAGTAGCTGCTGCTACAAAATTCAGCAAAGGCAATATGAATCCTGAAGTGGGGCCTACTATAGATGAGAGAATTTTGGGAGGAAAGGGGAAGCTACCTTGATAAATCAAGCATTTCATGATTTTATGTAAAGGTCTGCAGGAAGATACCCACCAGCAGACTGGAACAGTTTTAAGACAGATCAGCATATTTTGGTCTGAGCTACTTGACAATGTCCTGTTTGGTAGAGAGATAAGATAAGGCAGAGGGGGGATGTTCCAGTTCTGGGGCTGAGCCCCCAGAACGCCAAAGGGTCTCATCTTCCCTCGCCTCCCACAAGCTGTTTCATTTCCTTCCTCAGATTTGTTTTCCATAAAGCACACCTTGTTTTCCACTTCTTTTGTTCCAAGTGCTCTTTTCTTTGAGAAGTCATTTCTTCAATATCCCTATTACCTACCTATAAATCTAACTAGCTCTTTGAAAAGTCACACAATATTAATACCACTTTTACATAATGTCAGAACAACAATTCTATTAGTAAAGCTTTCAGTGAAGTTCTGCAACCCGATTGGTGTCCGGAGGAAGAGTAGCTGGACAATCCGCCTCTCCCCCTTCCTCCCTCCCTTTCTTCACAAGAGCTCACCAAGTTCACTGATAAAACAACTCAGCCCAATAGCACGATACATGAACATGTACAAGGCTACTTTGGGGAGCAAAGAAAGGAGTCTTCGAGGCCCTCCCTGTTAAGGGGAGGACCCTTTGCAAAAGCTGTTGAACAGACTCTGACCTCGGACTACACTGCTTCCACACACGAAGGAAAGAAACAGTTTTCCCTGACTGTATCCCAACATCAGCCTAAGACCTGCAGCACTGGGCAAGCCCCACACGCAGTTTGTCTTCACAGAGCCAAAGCAACTCTATGCAGAAAAGGTGGGAGTACCCACAAGAGATGAGGTCCTTACAGAAAGGGACACTGACCCAAAGCTCAAAAAAACGAAACGAAACAAAACAAAACAACAAACCACCCAGCTTTTCCTCTTACCCGCTCTGAAAACAGCAGAGCTGACAACGTTATCAGTGCCTTTGGTTCCCTACGAGGCCACTGGGAATTCTCCCACCCCAGCGGAGTCAAGCTCCTCTCTACATCGCCACACAGGGGCACGCACGCTGCCACACACACGCACTTGCACGCACACACGCACACGGACACACACCCCCCTCTCCCCTGTGCCATAAGCCTTGAAGGGAAATGAGAAGGGAGCCCTGGGGTCTGGACGGCGGGGCCACCAAGCCCTGCCGAGGCAGCAGCACTCGCTCTTCTGCTGCTCCCACTACAACGCCAAGACACGCTGGAGAACGACCCACTCCCTCTCCAAACAACCCTCAGAGCTCCTCTCCTAGGACAGTCTCACAGTATTTCAACCCGTTCAGGCACACCAGCCAGGTGTCAGGAGTAGGTTAGCTTTCACTTCTCAGTTTGGTTTTTCTTTCATAGTTTTTGGTCTAGACAGGATTAGCATTGCTATTAGAAAAGGAAGTGTTTAAAAACTTTTCCACCTATTCTCAAGCACTACAAGCCCTACATTCAGTAACAAGACACGGGGGATAAAAAGGAACCTGTTTCACTTTTGCTCTCCCAGATAGATTAAGATGCGACAACCATTCTTCGCCCTCCCAGGAGTTAAACACAATGGACCCAATTCAGCTCTGGTGCAACTCAACTAACTGAAACGGATTTACACCTGGGTCGGGTCTAACCCAGTACAGCCATCTTCTTTCCCCCGAGCCTCCCAAACACACATTGCCTAATCTTTAGATCCCAGCGAAGGGTGAGGGAAGGCCAAGAGGGAGGGAAGTGTGCGCACACTCGAAAGGACCCTGAACAGCAACCCAACCAGTAACCTGCATGCCACCACGTGCCGTGCTGCAGATTAGACCACAGATAAACCAACCAAACAACAATCCCAAACCCAGGAGCGACAAAATGTTTCCTTTGGCAAGACAGATACAAGGAAAAGAATTCATGAGCAAACATTTTCCTTCTAACACAGTCAACCCCCCGCTCTGCCCCGACATCCACCCGCACCCACCCGACCCTATAAAGTTGTAACCTATAAACAGGATCTCAAATACATACAGCATAATCATGTTTATCAATCATAATAAACATCAGTTCAACTAAACTCTACAGCTAAAATTATCTCCACTATTTATAAAGTTTGCTTTTCTCTTCTGATTTTTCAGTTTAAAACCAGTTCTGCGACAATGCTAAGCTATGCTGAGGTATTTTATGAAGGTGCCAGAAGCCAGCTGCTACCCACGCGTATTGTTCTCAGAGCTGTATGGTGCTACCTTCCACAGAGGGCAGACGGGGGAGGAAGGAGAAGGGAAGGGGGGGGACGGGAAGGGGCCCAGATTTTTCCAATGCAGGATGGTTCTTAGCAGCGCAGACCGAACAGAAAGCAGCCCCAGAGGTTGCTCTGTTAATGGGAACTTGGTCAGAAAAAAGTACCTGATACATCCTGACCGTATCTGTTTACTCCACTAAAAGGTGTCTCTTCCCTTCTCCTACGGTAAAACTATTTGTAAGTCCAGTGCAATCTTCCTAACACCCTGCTAACAGCATCCCAGGGAGCAACAGCTGTGAGCAGATACCCGCTCAGAGCCTACTAGGAGAAGCGGGAGAGCAAAGGTTGGATGAAGATACGTATGCTGAAAGAAGACCAAGCACTGTCTCATGCGTTAGTTTGCCTGCAAAGATATGTAAGTACAGGAATCTCCTCTTTTTCGTCGTTCCAAATGCACTGGAAGGACTTTTGCTGGTATGCAGGGAGCCCCGTACTGCTTGGAGCATGTAAGATACGAGCATTTTAAGAAACTGCAAGCCACGAGTCCACTACCAGCTCTGCGTTGCTTTACAGAGCATATGATTCTGCAGCCCTGCGACATCTCTCTACATAAGCTCCACTCTCATTAAAAGCAAAAGCCAAAGGTGTGGGCTGCAGCACCCTTTATGACAAAGTCTGTCAAAAACCTGTTCTAGCGGATTCCATGCTGGATAAAGAGAGAGGTTCACAAGCAGCAACAGGAGTTGGATCGAACGACTGAAAAGAGCAGAACCTCTGCAACTATCTATCTTGAATCCTGTATTGCTATAGTATTTTGGAAAGGGAGGGAGAAGTAAGAAGAGGTATTTTTACAAAAATACAAATATTCTGAGTTGGCTAAGTGAGGATTGGCAACCAGAAGTCCAGTGGGGAGCAGCAGGTCAGCTTGCTCCTTTGGTAACACTCCACCCTCGCCAATATTCAGATGTGAATCCAACAGGCGTACCCATGCCCTGTGGAAAAACATCATGTAACTGTTTCAGGCAGAATAAGAATAGTGACCTTTAATACAGCTAACCTGGCAATACATTGACCTACGTTTTCAACTCCTGGTTTAAAACCAAGTATCACTGAACGTTTGGGCCAGACAGGCCATTTTGTCTGGCCCAAGACAACCTAATGGCCACAAGAAGCTACTCATCTCTCTAAGAACCATAAAGTTAAATTTTATCTAAGGTATCAATTGGTATTTAAGGTAAATCGGATGCTTTGGTTGAGTATCTATGGTAAGGTTGCAGCTGTAACAGATACCGTGCTCCTTTTACACTAAAGAAAGAGGGAACTTCTGCTTAAAGAAAGCTGCTCCATAGGAACCTGTACAGAGTTAAGGAATTAACACTGCTGTCTCCTGCAGTAACAGCTGGAGAAATGGGTGATGAGCCAAAGCAAACTGCAAGGCTTACAGAGGAGACATTAGAACAAACTAAAACATCAGGATGTAGTTGCAAGAGAAGATAAAAAAGCATAAAAACTTTAAAAGAAATCGTTGCAACGGATGCACATGGAGAATTTTCTCCAATGCGTTTCAGTAACAGCCATTTTCTTACTGCCCCCTGAGCATAAGTGTTTATTTTTTTGCTTTTTGGTTTCTGTTTGTTTTTAAAGGAACTTGATTTTCCTAAAAGATTTTTAGAAGATCAGATGTATTCATTTTTTGTCTACATCTACTGCTCACTACGGAATTAAAATTAAATTAAATTAAGAAAAGGAGTAAAATAGAGGCAAGGGATTGCTCTCAACCAAATGAAAAGCTATCGTACTATGCAAGAACATCTGCTGTTGCGTGTTATGACCAGCAGACAGCTACTTTGCTCAGCGTTGGCATCCTACTTGTTAACCCTAAAAGGTGCAACAAATCACAACCTGTAACTACTTCGGGATCTACACTGTTTTTGCTGAAAATCCTTGCCAACCTGTTCATTTCAAGACAAAATGCAAACTTGAAGCTGCTGATGTTCTAAAAGGTCCATAATTCAAGCCATCAGAAAGCATGTCTTCCTCCTAATGTTCTGGCATTTTAATTTTCTCTTGCAAGGCAAACCTCAGTAGCACTCAGACAACCGCTGAGCGATAGCAGCAGCACACTCCTACATGGAGATCCAACTAACTTTCAAGTATGTTCTCCTTGAAGGTTCATCAGAGCACAGATTTCTCATTCTTGGCAAAATTACTTTTTCAATCCAATTTAACTTGTATTTTTGACAACTATTTACTGAAGCAGAGGATCTGAAGAAGTCGTGCTGCAATGATGAGTCATCACAAGTTACTCAAAGAAAAACTAAACAGTGAGTTGAAGTGACACGAGCCAATTGACTGGACAAAATAAAAATCCCTTAAAAACCAGGTGCTTCTGCATGTAACAAGCATGCTATCATCCCAGCAATTTTTCTGAGTGCATGCACATACACACCACTTCAAAGCTACATGGTAAAATTAAAATCTACTCAGTCAAATGCATATTAATAGCTCAGAAACAAAAGAAATCCTCTTAAGGAGATTTAGACAGATACGACTCTTGTAAGCAGCAGTATCTCTGTGTACTTTTAACGATCTGTTCACCAGTCATTCTACAGTGACTACAGAGGGCAGCTTCTGAGAAGTTCAACTGCGCTGAAGACAAACTGGAATAAATTTTCCTAACAGAAAAAATTGATCACCAGCCTACAACACCTCACCCTGAAGCCGTTGCCTGTTTTTTTCTTCCAGACCTCCAGGGTATATCTGTGGCTCTGTAAATCTCTCGCCTTTTGAGCTAACGGTCCTTGGCTATAAACGAGAGAGTTTTTCACCCTCCCTTTTCCTGCATGTATCCTTTGGCATTGCAAATATGAAAAATAACCCTCACACCTGTAAACATGGACGCATGGAGCTCAGAAAGAGAGATGCTATAATCCTTTTCTAACACTCTCAAATTTCTTGTGATCCTGGCTGACAAGGCAATACAGGACCAAAGGTACCAGCATGCAGCTAAAAAACTTCCCTAGAAACTAACATTCTCAAAGAAAATCTTCCCCTAACAGAGGTAAGAATTTAAGACTGTGACCACGTAATAGAAAATCACTTCTGTTCACCATATGAACCCACTGATACTGGAATCAGAGACATTACTTTGCCTCACTGGAGCAAAAAAACAATTCCATTTGCAAAATGTATGCCCTGTGACTGTCAGCCAGTTTGCAACAACACAAGTCCTGGACTCATTCCTGAACCGTCTACTGGGACAATAATTCTCCATTTTAAACACTGGTAAACTCAGACAAAGATCCTATTTACTAGGTCTGACACAATTGTCACAATCTCTTTTCAGATGCATCAATTTCTGCTGTTAGCATGATTACAATTTTAAAAAGAAGCTTTAATTCTAGTACTTGATCTCATTCACATTCCTTTCATGCTCTGAAGCTGCGTATCCGTCCTGTCCTAACCAGACAGAGACGTACACCTGATTTCTGTCTTTCACCCAAAGACTGGAGGTTGCCAGCACCCATGAGACAAAGCACTTCTAGGGAAGAGAAGCAGGCTCCAGGATCAAAAGTCAGTCACTGGGATGTTTTAGGAAAATGAACCAGAGTGCACTGGGGTTTAACCAAAGCATGCTGGTGACTGAAGCCAGGGGATATGTGCTATCTGGGTATTATGTCAGCTTCCACAAGCAAAATGAAGCCCTTTCCAGATATGTGGCTATTCTGAGTTTCCAGTTTCTCTCAGAAAAAGACTTGCTAAGAAATTCCCTGGAATCTGGGCCCCAGAGAGGGTGACGGGGTAGAGAGGAGGAGGGCAAGGGGGTATATTAAGGTGCTCACACCAAAGCCATGTGACCAATGCAAAGGTAGTCAGGAAAAAAAAGCAGATTTTTATAATAAATAATCCATCCAAGCTGCATTAGTGTTCCAGATATGTACTCAACAAGACCCTCTCCCAACCACAAACCAGCAAGAATGGGACATGAAAACTCATTCAGACAGCTAATGGCACAGTCTCTCTGAACTGTGGAGAGAGGATTTCATGCTGATTAAGGCCCACCCTTCTTTGAGTTTCCTAGATATATGCAAGGGCCGTGCCCCCACCCTGCCACAAAATCACTAGGGAATAGAAGATACATCGGAGAAAAGACCGACAGTATCTCTCTTTAACAAAAAAAGCTTCCTGATAAATCCTATTTTTGCACAGGTGTGAAAGTAAGTGGGAACTTTCAGACTCAGGAATGAACGTCTATAGCTGCAGTCTTCCCCATCCTCTTACTTCACTGAACTCAAGCCCCATGGGGCTTGCATTCCTTTGGTAGAAACTAGCCCACGCTATGGCCTCCAGACCAGTATAGTGGGTACCAGCATCTCCTCTTCCACTTCTTCCCTACCTCCCTGAAGCTCACCCAGCTTACCTTTTTCTGCTCTGAAGCTATTACTGTGGGAAATTTACATTTATGCAGTATTATTCATAGCCCTAAAAGTCTTCTGTGCAGCCTGAAGTCATAAAGACATCAGACACATCAAAAATATTTAGATTTATCCATACTGGTGGGATGAGGGTGGGACCTGTTGGATTAACAAACCCCTGACATTGCCATTCTATTTACACGTCAAACAAACAAAAAAAAAACCAACAAATTAAAATCAAGTTAAGAGTCTGCCCCAAGGATAATACAAATTACCAACCAAAAAAAAAAAAAAGATTAAAAACAAGCAGCAACTTTTATATAAAATTAATAAAAACAAAAGACAAATGAAAAAGAAATTGTCAGTAGCATCTATCGCCTCTCTGCATCTGAACTGCACTTATACAAACTAGTCCATTAGTACAGCAGCTTGCTAGAAATTGACTTTGGTTCAAGCTTAGTTTTAAAAAAATAAAACATAAAAAAATCAAAAACACATTAGAAACGGTGGACGGACATTTGTTAGTTTCCCTGCTTGCAGTTCACTAGTTCTGAAGTTTTTGGGATAATTGTTTTAAATATTCAGTAAAACAGGAAGGTGGAGATTTAGAGATGAACAGCAAAACCATGGCGGTGGGGGGAGAGATAAGGGATTCTGCCACTTGAGTGCAAACACAAATCCCACAATGCTCAGGTCGCAAACCAAAGCATATGTAGAGTTTAAAGTTGCTGCCTTCTGGATCTTGGATGAGAAACTCCAGGATCCCCCTGAATCATCAACAAAACGAACGTAGCTGCATTAGCTCATTATTTTTGAACACTCTGGTGACAACAGAAAAGCAGGTGGGAGGAAGGGACTCTTCTACTAACCTTGCTAACTAAAAGAAATTTAGTTTTATACACATGGCAGAAACCTTTAAATCCATCAGGAATGGAAAGTTCAAAGTGAACTGCATTGCAGTGATCCAGTCTTCTCTTTTAAAATTATTCTTTTTTTTTTTTTGGTTAAGATACTAGATTGTATATTTAAGAATATACAGATCTAACTTCTGTACAGTTTGTTGTTCTTCCTCATCCACGTAGATATTTTTTGCTACATGGAGCAGAATCAACCTCGAAAAGATGGTTATGGTGGCAGGTAAGTCCTGACGCTCCGGTCAGAGATGCTTATTGCGGTGTTTATGTAGCTCACAGCATCACAGCTCAGAGACTCCATGAGATCACCAAGGTATGTGCAAAGCCCCAGAGTCAACTCTACTGTGTTGGCATCAAAGATGGCAGCTTCTGTTCCCATGGTTTCTGCTGCCGTCTTTTGCAGGCAGAAGCACTTTTTACTAGAAATTTCTCCTAAATGCAACGTTGGAAACATTAGAAGTAAATGGAGAGGAATACTGCTATTTTTAGTGAGAGTCTGACATTTAGAAATCCTGCACCAATTCGTCTGTCAGAAATCTAGGACTGTAAATGCTGCTCTATGTACTGACAATTAGCTTGAGCAACTCCACATTTTTAAATATTTGTGTGTGTTCTTAACAGCAAAATCAATTCAACAGAACAAAAGAGCCATCAGTATGCCACACAATCTAGACTCAGGAGGTCAAATCCCACTCTCCTAAGGAAAGAGGAAACATGCACACCAAGCTAAGAGCAAAATTTGGCCATTTCGTCTAGGTAATCGAGAGAAGGAGAACTGCAGTTCAGAACTAATTCCTACCTCTGCTAAAAAGCATAGACCAGCCTGGAAGTTTGCACACCATGATCTCTATGGCTACACTGAGCTTCCTGCACAGGTGATGGAAATTAACTCTTCTGACCCCTTTAAGTAGCCATTAGACAAATTCAAGGATGAGGAAACTGTTCAGAACATTCCCAGAAGATTAGGACAAAGTCTATTTGTGCTCCATTCTTCCTCTCCACCCTCCCGCCCTCCCCCCCAGTGTGGGAGCTCGCTGAAAATAATCCAGGAGCAGAAGACAAACGCGTCCAAACTATATATATAAAAATAATAATAATAATAATAATCATAATAATAATAGAGATACACCAGTAATACAGGCCTGCCTAAATTGTACCAGTTAAGAAAGGAACCCCCAACACGATTGATACGATTATAAACACCTTGTATGACATAATGGCCTGTACAACAGACCAATAAAATGATAATTAAAAAAGAAAGATATTTAGACCAAAAAGAAACAAGAAATCCCCTTCCTATGTTTGAATTGATAACCCACCTTAACTTGTCATTGTGACTGCTGGAAATGATAAGTAGTCCTTTCACTTTTTTTGTGTTTTTTTTTTTCATTTTTTTGTGTTTTTTTGTTTTTTGTTTTTTTTACATTTTTGGTTAGAAAGTTCTCCGATCCATGAAGCGATCCTGAAAAGACAGTGTTTATTATAAAATTAGGCAAATGTCTGTCCCAGCTTTAAATCCTTCCTGTTTTGCTTTTGTTTTTATCTTTTTCCTTCTCTCCCTTGTCCCCAGCAACACGGCGAGAGGATGCCCATCACATTTTTCAGTTTATAAACCCCGCTGGCAGCCAATCCCACCGCACAGTGAAGCAGGCTGCTGGCAGCACAGCTCAGCCTGGCTCACTGTGCCTTGGAGGCAGTAGTGGTGGTGGACGTGGCCCCACTCGCAGAGGCCACCGTGAGGAGAGAGTTCTGGATGGACTCGGCTGAGGTGGAGGTGGCGTGAAGGCTGGCGACTGGTCCAGAGGCCCCTGCGGAGGCTGCAGCTGCAGAGACCAAGCTAACCGGGTTGCTGGTGAGCAGAGAAAGGTTCTGAGGGTTCAGGAACAGGGGGGCAGTTACGATGTTAGGAGTACCTCCAGCATTGGCAAACACCAAGTTTCCAGTTGCATCCAGTGATGTTATTGGAAGAGAGCCACCAGATGCAAGAGCTAAAAAAGGAGAACATTAAGCAGGAAGGAGATAACATTAGTAGTAAGCAATAACGCAAAATGTGACTAAAAGCAACAGGTCTCTGCATTTGCTTTCTCTAGTGGGAGTGCTCTCTACCACTAATGACAGTCATCACAGGTACCTGTTTTTTTTTGTTTTTTTTTTTGAAACAACAACTTTTTATGAAGAAGGATGAGACCTTGAAGTGGATGAGACCTTGCAGATACTAAGATATTTCTGCCATCTGCTCTTAATTCCATCACGTTTTTCTTCAGTTCTGTAAGCAGAACACTGGTCTATGTTTTCTGCCAAAGAAAAACTGTACACTCAGGTAACCTGTATTGGAAGGGGTTGATATGTGTGTTCACATGAAATGACAGGTATCAAAAGATGAACGCAAGGTCACGTAACCTTGAGCGTAACTTTTTAATGCTGACATATAACCATGGATACAACTCACTCTCACAAGGCTACAGGGTTCACTGCCTTACATTATGGTCTAGATTTAAGTGTGACACTTTATGAAATCTTTTTTTTTCTTGTACACTGCAAATAAGATTTGTTAAGCTAGTTTAGAAATATATGAATACACAAGGTTAGCTAGCTGCTTAGGCGCTTGCACCATCTAGTTTTTACAGATGGCAACCTATGAACTGAAAACAACTCTTGTTAAAGTCAGTGGAAACTTTAGGCTGCATGGCACTTCCAAAACAAATCTTTATTCTTCTGAATATGCATTTATGGATTTAAAGTTCCTATGTAAGGACTTTAGGGAGGTAGGATATTCTTTCCTCATTTGTTTGTTTAAAAGACATATGGGACTTGAATTTAGGATCAAGTCTTGCTCAGAACTGCCCCCTTACAGACCTCAAAACAGCGTGACTCTACTCAAGTTTACATTAGAAGAACTGTAAAACCCAAATCTCTAACCTGCTGGAAACGTGTGTTTTTATGCCTATGCGGGGAGGATAACTAAATAAATTCCAGATCACATGCGGCATCTTAAAGTCTTCCTGTGGATCTCTACAAGATCATACATGGTTCTAACCCGCTTTCTGAAGTTGCAGCTGCTCTTGAATCTGTGATACATAAAACGTATTTGGGCATTTGAATTTTGAAAACCTTTACTCTTATAACACTTATGTCCAGTGCTCTTTTTTGGTAGAGAATAATAAAGCATAAATTCAAGTTGTACGATGGAGACGCATTAGAAAGAATACTACTGACCTTGAATAGTTGCCAGTGTACTGTTGCTCATCAGGGCTGGGCTGAGAGCACCACCTAATGTCCCTGGATTGAGACTGAGTAAGGCACCTCTGCAGGAAGCAAGACCATGGAAGAAGAAACAAAGACAAAGTGTTAAAGCGGCCACTGTTCAGAAGTACACCATCATGTTAAAAAAAAGGGGGAGGAGGGGGATCAAACATTAAGGCCTAATTCTAGCCTTTATTTTCGTTCTTCCTTGATGATGTCTTGAGTAGATGTGGCCTTTCAGCTGTGTGGTTAGCAATATGCCTGAAGTACAGGCACTGAAACTACATGAGTTGTATTGATTGTAGCTGTAAAATATTCTTGTAAGGTATTGGGGGATACTGCAACTTGTTAGAGAGCTATCATCACCTCCCAGATTCAGATAAAAACGACGTCAGTCAAGATGAAATGAAGAAACAGAGAGTCATCTTTCACAGCAACACTTCTTAAAACTAAAACTTCACCGATATATCTTAAATATCTTTTACAGCTTCTTGGTCATGATGGAGAAATGAATACAGAGGTGAGAAGTGGATCTAGGCTAGCTCTCCACTATAGATGATTCTATGATTCATCGCTAAGTTGCAGCTCTTAAGTCAAGCTCTGCAGTGGGATGGATGACTTAGCAAATCACAACATTGCTGCAACACAGCTTTTTCATCTGTAAAACGAAAACAGCATTTGTGTACATTGACGGGAATGGCAAAGTCTACTATCTGTAAGTAAACCTTCAGAATTTCAGGGAAAAGACACTAGAATCACCGAGCGAGCTACCAGAACACAGTGATACATAAAAGCCCATGCAAATTATTCCAAGAATTCTCCTTCCCTCCCCTGTCACTTAACTTGCTAGTGTGTAAAACATTCATCCTTACCCAGCTGCAAACTGCGAGGATGCCATCAAGCCTGGGTTTAGTCCTGCTGCAGCAGCCATGGCAGCGAGACTTGCATTTGCAGGCAACTGTGCAGCTCCTTGTAATGCGGCTGCTGCCGCTGTTTGCAACCCTGATGCCGTTACCATCACCTGGCTGGTCCCAAGAGGGGAGGACAAGGGAGCGGAGGTTGTCTGTGTTGTGCTGGTCTCACTGGCACTGGATGCCTCTGAAGTGGAGGCTGAGGCAGACGGGGAAGGACTCATGGAGGGTGATGTCACTGCTGAAGAAGCTGGAGGTGCTGTTGAAATCACTGTTGCTGTGTTGTTGGAGTTGGTTTCTGTTGTGCCTAGAAGATCGAATCTGGTTAGATCGGTACAAAAAACAGATATAACTGAGCTGAAATCACTACCCACTTGAACCTGTATGTCCAGCTGAAAGGGAGATAAGTACACAATTCTATAGGGCCAAGAAGCCCCCCAAGTCCAAATGAGAAGGACTGCTGAGTTTGGCTCTCAGACTACGATGAAATGACACTTCAAGAGGAGGCTGAGGAGCTAGCAAAGGAAGGTAGCATCTTTCACTTCACTATCACCCTTGATTTTATCCCCAGGAAAGTCAACCAAATGGTCACAAAGACCAAAGTTTCATAGTGGAGAAACAAGGAGCGATGACAAGTGTCCTGGGATACCTGAGTGACCAGTACTGAGATAACAAAAGACTTTCTGAAGAATATTAAGGGGAAAATGGCAGAGGTTAATGTGGGGACAAGGGAAATCAGCACAAGTGCTTTTTTAAAATTGAGAGAAGAGGAACACTTGGAACCAACATACAAAAGCCAAATGTACAATATCTCAAAGATTCTTTTTCTGTTATAAAAACATTTTTATTTCCTGTTTTCCAATTGCAGCAAAGCAGATTATGAATGTCTGAGACATCTTCAGATTATGCACAGCAATAAAGCAAAATCAAAAACCTATTTTATATGAAACTTGGGCAATAGAACCCAGAGAGTTGTAAATTTCTCCTGAATAATAAACTATAAGAAAGGACATTAGAAATCCAACAAAATCTTTACCTTCATAAAATCTCAATTACTTGTTTGACATAGTAATTTACTTGACAACTAAGAACAAGTGACTTGTGAAGAAATGCTCATGGCATGCACCTTACCTGTGACTGACAGACTAGTTACAGCAGGACTGGTCAGAGGGAGCACAGGATTGACAGTCAGGGTAGTAGCTGCACTGCTAGTCACAAGGCTTGGCGTGGTTGCCACCTGGAGGTCAAAAAAGAATACAACTGCTAAACTGTTAAGGAAAAAGACAAAAGCAGTTAGCTACTAGACTTGCATTTCTTTCTTCTCATCCTCAGCTGAGGAAATTACCAGGGAAAATACCGCGTATACACTAACTTTTTTGTAAATCCATTGCTTTAGTATTCAGTGGGCCAGCCATAGTATCTTCTCTAATTACCACCAATATCTTTATTCGTAATCATTCAGCATTTGAAGGCAGGTACATCCATTAAACCCATACTGCTTCAAGACTGACTGTAAGTTGGCCCTCCACCTATCCCTCCCCACAATGACAGAATCTTGCTTTAATAAAGTCACTCTTCCAGAACAATTTACAAAACATATTATTTATTCATAGTGTTTTCTTGCTTAAATGTCTTTTCAGCTCCAAATCTCTTTCTCTGATAGAATGATTTAAACATCACAGCATTACCAAAGGTATTTAGAGTAATGTGTTTACATGGAAAAACAGTATAACGTTTCCCTTTTACTGAACCAAACTATGAGCTCTATCTTGGTAAGTATCCTTGTGTGTGAGGAACGATCTATAAATTTAAAAAAATTCAAATGTCATTAGCTTATTTTACTCATGAATAGCTTAGAACAAACAAGCTACAAATAAACAAGATAATGCAGAGAGAAACATCCTAAGATTCAAGGCTGGAGGAACTAGCTTATAAGCAAAAATTAAATATAAGGAGAAAAAAGGACTTTTTATGGACAAAAATGGTGTCCAACAGTAATATTTGAAGGCTGTTATACATCAATGAGAGAAACAAATACTTTAAAATTTCCCAAGAGAACATAGCAAAAACACAGGCTAAAACCTTCCTCCTTTCCCACCTCGTATCTAAGTTTATTATCAGAGAAATCTCCCTCATGCTGAATATTCTCTTATAGGAAGTCAAATGTTTTATGCATTTTAAACAAGGCTGGGGCAACTGGGACAGGTCTAAGAGCTTTCTGTTCATCTCAAATAGTCCATGAAATAAAGAAGCACTAGATATACAGTATACTTCGCACTAACGTAGCCTACACATCACATCTGTCATCTGTCCACCAAACAGTTAAGGCCAAGGTCAAAATCAATATTTCAGGGCAGTAAATGACCTAAAATTAATACAGCTAACCCTTGTGGTTACGATGACTGACTTAAGCCAATACAAAAGGAGGTTGCCATCTAAAGGAGCATTCACCTCCAATCCTGTCCCAGAGCTCTAGTACTTGTGCAGTCAGGGTGCAAGTTAAATTGGTCATCCAGACATACTGCTGAAAATTAATCATTGTTCTTCACATGGTTAACTTGCAGTCAGGCTGGTAAACTGAGCCCAATCATCATACAGACACATAGTCTCCAGACCTGACACAAGGAATCAACAGACCATATAGCCAGTGAAGGCTGGGGGTGACAGGGCTAGAATGTCCATTTGAATGGTAGCACAATCTTAAAAGAAGCTCACAATGAGTGAAAATGCTTAGGGAAACATCACTGAAATAATTGAGACTGTGATTAACATTTCAACTTCTCATATACAATGGCAGTTTATAATAAAAGAGGAATTTACGTAGGGAAGCTTTCTTAAGTTGCAGTCCCAGTACGCTTGCATGGTTACTAAAATACACTATCACAAATCTCACTTTGGTAGCAAGGCATGTAACCTTGCTTTCCAGTTGTGGGTGAAAAAAAAGTACTGAGTACAGTCAACACATCCCCTCAAACAAAAAGTTGCATGCACACATCCTGAGACAAGGATGAGGGGAAAGAATGACACATCACCAAAATTAATGATTTAATGAAGTACTGGAAGGTATTAGCTACTACAATGATGAAGGTGGAATAAACACTACAAAAGGACAGCTACAGGCTACATCAATTCCACCACAGTCCTATTAGCATAGCTACTATGAAATCTAACAGCTACTGTTTCAATTTATGAAAACAGACCTCCATGGGCATTGGTAGCAAAGGAGCTGAAGGAACCTTGATGCAAGTGTTTTGTTACTCTTATTTTCATGAAGTTTGTGTTTACCTGAGGCAAATACAAGTTTGGGAAATTAATTACATGAGCATTAGCTATTTTTTTTCCTTTGTTCCATGCCCTTTTTTTTAGATGTAAACCATCCCTGACCAAAAGTGACAACAACAACACTGGACTTGCGTGACTAAAGTCTCCAAAATACATGTATATGTTTTACTGATGCTCATCTACTTATCATTGCAGATAAAGTAAGACCGGGGGGGGGTGGTGTAGAACTGTTGAGCAATTTTTATTACTATTATTTTATTTTAAAAGGTTTGGTCAAGAGAGAAAATCCAGAAATAAACTAGAGTTACTACCTGGCAAATTTACAAAGCAATAACCCAACTGCAAATTTGCTGGCCAAAATACTTAGTCATGAGCTGGCTAAATAAAATACTTGAACTGAAGACTGCTTTGTAAGCATTCCCTCTCTTTTGTAGTATGCAAGAAGGATATTTAAAATGCCAGTAAAATACAGACTTGTGAGAACAAGTTTGCTGTATAAAGAAGGTGTAGTACGTGCAACTTCCACAGTGAGCACAGTAGAACTATCTCTTCCAGTGATCTTTGCCAACAGATTCTTGACTCTTACCAGTGAGGTTGGGCAAGGGAAAATTGCTTTGATGGGCGAGCTGCTGGTTCCACCACTGCTGGGTGGGTTGATCCTTTTCTCCTTCTGGCGCCGGTTACAGAACCAAACGCGGATCACCTCCTTCTCCATGTTTAGCTGGTCGGCTATCATGGTGATCTCCTCCGAGGTAGGCTTTTGGTTCTGAGAAAAGGAAACGGGTACTTGAAAAGCTGTGAAATTACCTTCTGACGTTTTACATTATAGCTTTTATAGGTTCCTTAGGGCAGCCTGCTCTAAGCAACCTGCTTTGGCAGGGGGGTTGGACCCAACGATCTTTCGAGGTCCCTTCCAACCCTTTCAATTCTGTGATTCTGATTTTCCTTCACTAGGCAGAAATGTGGGTGGGCCACTTATACCCAGAATCTGTGGTACACTCTCTAGAGAGAGACCGTAATAGATACTTCTGCCGTACATTTTCCAAGTTGCAGGAAAATTTCTGCCAATGGTAAGCTGTGTTCCTCATGGATGGATGATGAAGACTAAACCAATACGCTTCTTTTTCAGAGAAGGGATCTGACTTGTGAATAATCCTTCAAGGAATTCTAGATATTGATAAGGAAATCTTTCTTTTATCATCTCCTAAAAAGTAACAGAAAAGATTAACTACAGCACTAGCCAAACGAACCTCAAGTTGTCTCAACTTATAATAAAAGATAGATTGAATGGGCTACCTAGAGGCTATCATTCAGCACATTCAGCTGCACAAAGTGCCTAACAAAAGTAATATAATGCCAGCTAAGAACTTCATCTTATGTATGTCTAGACTGTCACACCATTCATCCGACCTCAGAAAAGGTAATCCTTTTTTCTTATTTTTGAGGTGCATAGTAACAAGCCTTGAGCTATTGCTCAGTATCACTCAGTCAACAAACTGCAAGAACCATGAGATTTTGGTGGGGTGGTGGTATGGCTGTGTTTGTTTTAATTAAAATAAAGGAGGCAGTGATTGTGTGGTCCTTGGAACAGCCTTTGTATTCAACTTCTTTAGTACAAGCATTTTCCTAAATGGTATAGTAATAGCAGAAGCAAGGTTAAACGAAATTTCTTCATTGCTGTATAGGCTGAGTTGAACAAAAGTGATCACTGACCTCCAGGAAACTCTTCTCTAAGGCCACACGTATGTTGGTCTCTATGCTGGTGCGTTTCTTCCTCCTACGGTTCAAGCCTTCGCCCCCCAGCCCTGGAGAATTCAGGGCACTTGGGCTGGAGAGTGTTGAATCAGATGAGAGGTTTTCTGAAAAAAATAAAGTTAACACAAATGAGGAGATTTTATTTGAATACACTGCAATTTCATGCAAGTGTTCTTCAACTGTGCAAGGCATGCTATAATCCACTCTGTATCTACTCCAGATATATAGAGATTTCTGAAGATCACATTTATTAATTACTGTACTTCAAAATTACAACATATATTTGAAACTTATAAGCTACAAGTAAGACCAGAGGGTGCTGTCTTTGCTCCTGTATTCTACCACAGTACCCCTTTTATTATATCTATACAAAGTTTCTTTCTCCCTTATCTCATTCCAACCCACACTCACTCACTGCAATCACAGTTTAAAGAAAAACGCAGTAGCTGATATCCAGAAGCCATAGCTATAAGCCACAGACTGAAAAAAATCTGAGCAGCCTGAAATTTCTCTTACCTACTCTGCAATACAGTAGAAGAAGAAGAAAGCTCAAAGCCAGCTTCAGTGTTCAACCTCTTTTCTCTGGAGATCCTAGCGGATATTCTGTGCTAGATAGCCTACCCAGCCAGCAGCTCCCCCTCTCCTTAGCTTCAGAAGGTCTCTCTCTGTCAACCCCTAATCCTGTCTTTCTGGCTCCACAGAAGACTGAAGAGAGGACACAGTTTAATCCACTGTGTACACCAAAGCTCAAAATAACCGATAGCCAGGTTCCAACAGGAAATTTTATCAAAATGACTAATTATGGCTGTACAACATTGCAGACCCCTCTCTGAACAGTGGTTTGTGCCTGATAAGCAGATGCCAAAGATCACAATGCCTTAGACCAATCTGCTGGGCTCAAATGGGCAAGTACATTCACCACATTATTTTCTAGATTACTTTTTTTTAGTTATAGCACCCATAAATCTGCTGGAACTCTTCTCCCTTGTGAAAATCCCACAGAACAAGCTGAGTTCTGTAACAGTAAGTTCTCCAACACTCAGATGTAACATAATGGAAAGCATCATTGGTATGCTTCTGCTGCCTGCTTTTACGTAAAAGTAGTTGAATGGCCTTTATGGTCACCTGAATCTTTCTTCCAAAGATTTTCAAGAAACTGAATGAGAGCCAAAGACAATGGTTCCTAACTTCCAGGCTGTGAAGGGCCCCAACATTGTTTATAGTCCTTAACTTCACTTTACAGATCCAAATATTTCTTCAGGTTAGAAGGAAAAGGAAATTATGACACTGGTTGCAGCATCAGACTTGCTCAGTATTGCTGGAAGGTTTGGGGACAACTGTCCTGTGGACTAGAGCATTTGCTGCAAAGATCTTTCTATGTTTTCTATCATAGATCCCAGATTACCTAAGGATAGCCCCTGTCAGCACAATAGAAATGATGATTCCTTCTTTCAATGTAGGCCAAATTTTAAACATTGCATCCAATTAATTTCAAAATTTCAGGGAATACTGTAGGCTTTGGCATTAAGCCCTCTTCATTTTGATAAAAATAGGAGGGCACACACTGTCTCTGCCATATGTTTAGCAGATCCATCAGCAGTTTTGTACTATGTACAGTTGTATCCTTCGAAGAAAGAAACGGCTGACAGCACTCTTAAACATTTTCTATCCTAACACCTAGCACCACCATCCAAGCTCCTTTTGCTGGCACAAAAGAAAAAAAAATACATGCTGTCATCATGAATAACTTTTCTCCCAGGAAAAAAAAAATAATTCTGGAAGGAAAAAAACCCTAAGCTGTAAAGAACTCTTCCTATGGGGAGAAAGAGAGCATTTATAAGGACCCTTGGAGAGAGATGAAAAGAATGCACACAGGGGACGTGGGAGGAGATGAATGCAATAAGCTCTGCTTACTGAAACAACAAACCATGCAACTCTCTCTATTACACATCTGAAAAAGAAAGCTAGAAGAGGATTAGAAGTTATATGCATTAACATACACGAAGGAGGAAAACCATGACACACATTATACCTCACCCCATGCAATTATTCAGCTGACTGCAGAACACAATTCTAGAAGTTCACAGTGGAACTCTTTCAGATGTACATGGGCACACAAATAGGGAAATATGGACACTTATTCCTATACCCTTGTTTGTCCCATGGACAGTTACAAAGATCGGTGGCTTCATAAAACCATAAGGGCACCAACGAAGCAGTTTTTCAGTTTTTCAAAATCCTACTGATTTTGGTAGGCTGGTGAAGAAATACACAGACTCATTCACCTGCATCATTGAGCCACTTTTCCAGAAGTGGCTTTAACTTGCACATGTTCTTAAAGCTGAGGTTCAAGGCTTCAAAGCGAGAGATGGTAGTTTGGCTGAAGTCATTTCCATAGAGTTTGCCCATAGCGAGCCCAACATCACCCTGGACAAAGAAAGAGAAAAAAGGGATTCACTAACACAGGTACTTCCAAAGCAAGGAATCCTGCCACATCCTTGTGTTCCTAGTGACTCCACTGCTGGGTGGGATTCGGTTTCACAGAAACTTGCTTGGCACTAACAAGATTCATGCTAAAGCAAATAATGATAAAGAAATGTTATCTTTTCAAACTACAGGCAATTTAACCATGTAACTCTTTGCAGAAATTCCCTCATGCTCTGTCTTTTTAGCATTATCACTAAGCAGAACATTCCACTGAATATTAACTTGTAATTTTTCTCTTAGTTCTTTAAAAAAAATGAAAGGCCAAATGCTTTGGGAGCAGATTTAAGTATCTACATATTTCACACTGAAGAAGAAAAGTTCAAATAAGAAATGCAGTGAATTCATGTCCTTGTATTAGTAGTAAAACACTCTTGAAGAGATGAATGAGGTTTGTCTACAAACTTACATCACATTTAAATAAATGCAAAAATACTCTTATCTGAACTTTTAGTACCTTCTGTGATGTTCAAATCAAACTTTTCCCCACAGATACGCATTTCAAAGCAGACAAGAAGTTGAACCATATCAAATACTGATTAACTGTAGTCTCTACTACCATTACGCATCTGCTAAAAGCTATCCACAATAGCTTTTATGCTATACAGACAGATGATCACATCTTTACATCTGTTATTTCTTTTCAAAACTCAGTTTTAGCTGGCTTTCAGACATTCTGCTCATACCTAATACACTTCTATGTAGTTTACACTTGCATAGTCTCATTAAAAAAAAAAATCCATTCTTGATCATGGCCACTAAAAAACACCATAATGTTCTCCGGTTTTGTTTTAAAGCATGAAGGTCCTGCCCTTTCTGAAAACTTAGTAATTTTTTTGCTATATGCTCTAAATTAGATAAATTTAGATCTTTAAACACAAGAAGCAATGAAAAGTCTAGAAGAAAAGACTGAAGAGCTTGAGCGTAGTTAGTGGAGCTTAATTGCAATCGAGTTAGTTGGATGCTGCATAAAGCTTGCTTTCTTTCCTTTAGGTCAGATCCACAACCACCGCTTGAGACAAGTATACTAACAGCATGCAGAGTGGCCACATCCAAGCAAGGAAGAAAACCTTTGCTAAGCCTAGCAAATTGTGCAGATTGCATGAAGAAAAATTCCTTCCTAGAAGGGGACCAGAACAATTGGTTTGTAAGCCCTTCAAACAGAAAAGGAAATGTGTGGAAACACATTTGTATCTCTACCCATATCCCAGGATTTTGTACATTTCAAACCTCATAAATCATTCCAAGAGAAGTAAGTAACATGGATGCTCTAGTGAGTTTATGAAGAAGAAAACCTGGCTATGTAAACCATTTTAGAGATAAGTTGATTTATATCTCGGCAGGAAAGACTTATGAAATTTGCTCCAGTCCCCTGACCAAATTTAATTCTGGTATTTATGTTGTTCTTACTAACATTTGCCATCTGATTTAAAATGAATAGTTAACCATTTCTTTGTCAAGAGTTTTTGATGCCGAAAGGTGGCAGCATTTCAGCTGTAGGCAAAGCAATTTATATATTAGGATGATAATTTTATATTTTGGGATGGGCCACTGAAAGGATGGGTGGAACAGAGGATGAAGGTACGATGTCTGATCTACTTAATAGATTGAATGACACTCTGGTAATGAAATAAAACTGATTGTAAGGTACATCACTCTTGTATATGTTGCTCTGCTAGGAAGCTTGGATGGACTAGCAAAGGCAATATCTTGTAGAGAGCAACAATAACATTGTCTAAAATGTACGTTCACATAGCTTCAACCTGTCCTGACCAATCAGTCACACATCTGCAATAACACTAAGATGCAATGTGTTCATTGTATCTCTGTATGTCAAACATAAGAGACATTTTTAAGGGAAAACAGCTAAACAAAAAGATTTAAATACATCTGCTCTGGAGAATTTTGGGGGCAGGAGGAAAAGACACTGCTCAAATTCAAAACCTTTTATATTGCTCTATGCAGATAGAATAAACTTAGTGATTAGTTTGCAATGCAAACTTAAATCTTTGAAAAGCAGGGGTGGGGTGAGTTTGAAAAAGCTTACAGTACTACTGAAAAAAAAAAAAAAGGTATTATCCTCTGAAAGGCAATCTATTTGTCCAGATATAAGAAACCAAAGAAACAGGGATTTCTAATTATTCAACTATGCAATTAAATAGAAGTTATTAGAGCCGCCTAATTATATAGGTACACACTCAATGCAGGGTAAGAATGACAGAATGCCATTTGATCACTTTCTCTAGGTTTACATTTTTTATACTCAAAAAAATACTGAACTGCAAGCCTGAGCAGTTACGTTCATTTTTCCTGACCATGAAAATTCACAACAGGGTCAATAAGGAAGGGTTAACCCATAGTTTAAAAACTCGAGTTGAGGCTTAATAATTACCTCACAGTAGGGCAGATTAAACATAATTAACTAAAGATCTACATGAACCTCCTCAATCAGGCTATAAGGAAGCTTTTATATTTTACTCTGCTCTGCTTTATTGTTTTTCATGTTCATCCATCACTGCTGTATTTCTGTACCTCCCTCTAGTGGAAAGAAGGAAGGGAAGAAGGCACACATGCCACCAAAACACACCTAATTTCACTAGCAACATTCTGTTCTTCAGTTGTAATTAAGATGCTGCCAGGAACTTTCATTATGAACCCTGACTTTTCAAACATTTAGAACTTTATCAGAAAAATAAATCTCACTTCAGCACAAACTTTCATCTAGAGTAGGTTTACTTATTCCAGGGTGGACAAATCACATATACTGGGTTGACTGCTGAGCTCAGGCTTTTAAATACCTGCTTTGATTTTTGTTTGGTATTTCTTCTGGCAAAACAAGCCTGTGCTTCACATAGGCTCCTGCCAAAAGGAATTGTTTACCTGGACAGATTATTTTGTAGGAAAACATTTAATTTTTATATTAATAAGAAAGGACTCTTGTATGCAAGCAGCATTTCCCTTCAGCAGAATAACAGAACACAGAACTGCACACTGTATGTTTAATTGTACTCCTCATTCAACCATTTTCAATATGTTCAAATTAGTTTTCTTCATCTCTATTGGTATTTCTGAGCTTTTAAATAAAACAAAAAAAAAATCACTACTCCAGTTCACCTCTGTAAGCAGTGAACTTCAAAGGTAACAGCCCTTTCAGGTTTTGTTTAGGAACCTTAGCAAAAGCATTAAATACAGAAATCATTGATGTTTAATAGCAAAATACGCTTGAGAGATAAAACCCTTTGACATCCAAAGCAAATTCACAGTTGTGACATACTTTTTAAACACACGGAGCAGTTAATTGTGCTGTATGATTTTCTGGAACTTTGTACTTCTGAAGGCAGCTTTAAAGTGCTTTGTCCCATTCATTTTAAATCCTATAGAATGAATAGAGCACATGCAATGACATCTGGAGCTGGTAAATGCATGGACCTGCTGGGAAAACAGCTATGCTTTAAAACCAACAGGGATGTAAGATGGATGTATGGCTTTTTCTGCTATTTCTGAGAAATCCCCTACATAAAGGCCAGAGCATAACCCTATTTAAGAAGGTACTCCTAGGAAAAGGTGGAATTGTAGTCTCCCTCCAGACTTGAAAGATGAGACCTCAGATTCCACACTGGCAGGCACTAAGGTACTGCAGTCTCACCTGAGTGAATCCAAGTTTGATCCGTCTTTGTTTGAAAGTCTTGGCAAACTGCTCAAGCTCCTCAAGGTCACTGGGCTCCTCCAAGCTGGGAGTGTCAATTCGCTTTGGTGTTGACTGGCTCTGTGGAAGTGGCTGAATGGGGGTCGCTGCTATTGTGCGTGTTGGGGTTGCTGGCTATTAAGACAGAGAGCAAGGAAAAGATGAAAATCAGACTTAAAAGAATACTCAGCAAAAATTAGATTTAGAAAAGGTACATATGGTTTCTATGAGAAAGATCAATGAATTTGGCATTTCCAGTAATCTGAAAGTTCTTCCAATTTATTTACATTCCTCTCAAGTCATAATCCAGAAAACTGTATTAGTATGACAGTCTTTTAAATGCTCTGTCAGAACCAATTAAAGAAAAGAGATGTTCAGTGCAGCACATAACCAACAACTTTCACTTGCTACAGAAGCTGCTCAAAGAAAGGCTGAACACTCCTACTTCATACAGTTCTATCATTTATAGACTGCTTGACATTCATCCCCTTTTAATCATTTTTAAATTGAATTTACTGCTTGTGTGTGGTGGCAGATTGTCATCAGCCCCGAAGATTCAACTCTCCTATTGAATCTTGGAACAGCAAGCACCTACAGGGACAGCAAACATAGCAAGTTTCCTCTAATGCCATCTCTTGGGACTGACTTAACTCTTCCAGTAAGAAAAAACAGATCTCTCTCTCTAACCCTTCCATTTAGACTTGCAACAATAAGGGCAGATGCCCTGGTGATACGAGAAATTAAGCAAAAGCAACCTAGGGAAAATAATTCCTTTTAGATCTTTTTTTTTTTTTCCCCCCTGCATAAAAGGCTAGTTTTCCAGGAAGTCAGCACAAGGTTCAATATTCCTGAATATTAGCATACTGCTAATATTTTGCTATGCAGCAATAAGAAGAATCTGTTAAAAAAAAAATCAAAAAACGGAGCATGATGGAAAACATTCGCAGGTGAACAATATATATTAAGATCTGGTATTGCACAGTGCATGTTTTATGTGCAACAGAAACACTGGAAATATGCTTTGTGTATAACTCTACTTTTTATGTGCAATAGATAAACTGAAATGCAGAGACAAATCTTTCACTCTAGTTAAATTCTGTTCAGTTCAGTTGAATAGCTTTTATATCTTATGCCCAGATCTGAAACTACAGGCTCCTTCTGCACAATTAAGAACAGCCTCAAGTCTATGCAACACCAGAATAGCTTGCAAATATCCAGAAATGGCTGTTCTAAAAGAAATTCCCCATACATAGCAGAGTCTTTACGTAGCTCCGTATGTTGTTTTTCTCCTGGCTTAGTACAGCAGTATTGTGCAGTGCACAACAGATGGTAGAGGAAGGTCAGCATCTATAATTCCATTACTTGAGAAATAATGTGATCATATATGATCTTTCTAGGATTGCAGATATGTGTGTCACACTATAGGGGGTTTTAGAGTTTTTAAATTTACATTAAACATACTGGATAATTACTGCTATGTCTTTATTGGCTTCATCCCCATTATATAATTTGTTTTCTCTCTGTGGTTTTGAGACTTCTTTTAATCCAAGCATAATCTTTAGCAGGGAATCATGCTACTAACCAAAGTATGAACTACAGAGGTGAGACAAATTCCATTTTCCGCATAGTACATGAAAAATACTATAGGTGGTGTGACAGAAAATACAGTTTTCTAAGACTCTGATAGACTCAGGTGTCTTATTACAGACTAAAAATTTCTTACATGTAGCCAGGTTGGCAAGGAGATACTGGATGATATTACACACTATTTTAGAAACAGCATGCAGTCATGTAACTAAACTGCATAGTAAAATCCAGAGTGAGGCAAAATTAAATTTGCAGGCACGTGCAACCTTAAAATTGCCTTTCTTACAGTCTGAAAGCTTAATCACTGAGCTTTAATATTTTAACATATATCTAACAGAATATTTTAATGCATTTCTGACAATACCTTTGCCTTCAGAGAAGGTAACTAATAAGACTGGCAATATCTTGGTAATAATAGCAGGAGAACTAGGCTAGAATAGAAACAGATTACCACTGCAAGCTTTTTTAAAAATAAAAAAATAGAAAATAAAACTATACTAATCTGTAATCTTCTTTTTGAGGTTTTTGGGTAGCCCACACCTTGTTCCTCTGAATTTAAGAAACTCATATATTGTCCAAGAAAACCCTCCAGGAGATCAAACGCTGCTGTAGTCCCATTAACTCAAAATATCAAACATGAAAAATTTCAGCTAAAAATAGAATTTAAGAGTGTTAAGTGTGGAGGAAAAAAAAAAAGCATATTAGAGTAGAAACTTATAAAACTGAAGTTACTGATACTTCAGTTCTATACTGAATCTATCCAGAAAGACAAACTCACTATTATTGCTATATTTGCAGCTATAATTTAGCTGCATTTACTCCTGTAACCAATACAAAGAGTCCCCTCACTCGTAATAATTCACGGCCCCCCCACAGCAACTTCTGAACTGTAGAAATAAGCCTGACCTGCGAGGCAAGGGTGATGCTTGGCTGAGACTGCAGGAGGTTGGCTTGGCTTTGCTGAGGTAGTTGCGTTAAGAGATTCTGCGCTTGCAGGAGACCTGGAAAGAGGAAAGGGTGGTTTTGGTTCATCTGTACAGCAACAACTAGAACATGACACGAGGTGAAACAAGACTCTTGCCAAATAATTAAAATTATAACAAATTTGAGAAGGAAGCCTTTATTTTTATCCCTGCAGAGATACTTCCAGACTTTGGACTTTTCAATCCAAAACCTCCTTGTATTTTCGTGTAGCATTTACAGTGACAGACAGGTGAAATGAAGTAGCCTCTGCCACACCGCTCTGTAGAAACTGTAATGACCTAAGTTCTTCCAGTTCTGTATGCAGGAATCATTTATTGCCCCTTTCAGCTTACAGATGTTACAGGTAAATTTATTTCCGTAATCAAAGCTGACCAAGAGTCGGGGAGCAAAAAGGACTTCAGCAACTGAATATTAATCAAATACACAGGCTGGGCTCTAATCATTCTTCTCTCTCCATGCTACCCCATGCCAGCCGCCTAAGAAGAAGACGTATGTCTCCAGCAAAGCAAATCATGCCAGAAGACAAAACAAGCCCAGATTACCTCCTCCTGGCTGAAATAAAGAAGGAATCTTTTACAAAAGTAACAAGATATAGAACACTGTTTGAATTGCACAAATAGAATAAACATTGCACTTAATATATGAAAACCTCCACTATTATGAAATGACAACATTAAAGAACAAGTGAGACTGATACAACCAACATACACAATATGCTGTCACTCTAAAAATAAACTCTTTCAGTCTGCTATTTGCACAGTTTATCAAGTCTCTCTAAAATTGAGGTATACTCTTGAATCTACATAATTTAACCAGGAGCTATTTTTTTCTGCATTACTAAAATATATTTTAAAGGGTAAGAATCTTGACAAAGATAGACCTATGGTTAGTCAACTCCCTCGATTTTCTTATGAATAATACTGTACTCTGTATGTAACTTCTGACTACATCTATCAACTTCCCCTACAATTATTTTAGAGCCTGACTAATTAAATCTATGTTTAGCGAGCATCTTCAATATACCAAGTTCCTAAAAACAGGGGTGACATGACAACAGATGGACACTATAGCCACTAAGAGGACAGAACACCAAATAAGTATCACATAAGGAAAACTGTGCAATTTGAGTTTAACATGGCCTGTTTTGGCACATCAGCTGGCCAATCCATCGTGTGCACCACTCATGACCAGCTATCTCTTACCAGAGTACAGACATGGGACGCAGGAATTCAGGACTTGATAAATAGGGAGTGGGAAAGTGGATGTTTTATGAGAGGTTAAGGCCATAGGAGACAAAAGCTAGGACTATCATGGAGTACGAACGAGAAAATGTAACTTCAAAGGGGGATACGGAACTACAGAACTGTCTTCTGATCTCATCATAAAAAAAAAAGGCAACAAAATGTTGAATATTTATTTTTAGATACAATACATTACTGTTAAAATGCTCAAGACCTACAGAATAAAGCTGGCTGCTTATGCAGCATAATATGGCACCATAGACAACTACATACATTTTCTTTGTGTCCCGTAATCAACGTGTTTCAGCTGTTTTTAAAAGGCCTCAGGGTGGGAATAGATCACTTCAAGGAATTTCCAAGATCACTACATACTGGTAGCTATACAATACTTTTTGCAAGGCAAATATCTGCTCACTTGAAAGATGATCTCAACTACCCAAATCTAATTATTAATTAGTGATCTGTCATCTCTACTAGAAGAGTTTTTGACCTTTATTTAGTGACTGTAAATTTTAACTAACTCGAAACAGAAAGGGACAAGCCATCGCAACGATGCTATAGAGCAGCTGACCAACAACGAAACAAGAAACAGGCAGCTGACAGTGACCACGTTTGACCCGCAATCCACCTGCTAACACAATCGATCACAAGTTACTGACTCATCTTGTGACTGTAATCAGAGTAATTAGGATTGTTCTTTTGTGATTTTTTTGTCCTCAGAGAAATCCCAGAGGATATTTTTCTGGCAATAACACTTCTACTGAAGAGCATGAGTTGACTACACTTTTCCTCATTTTCTTCTCCCTTGTACATTCTGAATTAATTATCACTGAAGGACAGAATAAAATATTCTGAACGTGTTCCATACACTCAGTTTTTACATCATTTTATCCTACTTAGGAAATACCCATACAAGGTCTCTCAGGTAGAAATGGGAGAAAGAACAAGTCTGTTGAAGCCGAGCCACTAGCTGACTGAAGTAATAATTGGGAAAGTAGCTGAACTGCTTCGGCAAAGCATGTCATGCATATACTTTGGGCTCTTAATGGCTTCCCTAAGTGGGCAGCTATAGTTTAGCTTTTTTTCCAGGCATGACTTAGATTAGCCTAAGCTTCACCTTCATTTTCTCTGAGAAGAGACTATCAATCCCCACTTTGAAGATAACTTCAGTGACAATATACAGGGTGCATAGTACTGTCTTTAAATATAGTGTAAATTCAAAACTGCACCTCTTAGGTAACTGCTGTGATATTTGCGTTTCAGACTTTTTCATTTCCTCAGGGAGTGATATGGGTGCCAATGCTGATTAATGTCTTCACTACAAAAATGATGGTGCAGAACAAAGTCTCAGCTATTTTGTGGACAGTATTCAAAAAGTAGAGAGTAGAGTATGTTGGAAGCCAGGGTCTAGACTGGCTGGACAAATGGTACCTTGTGAAGATCAATGAAAGAAAATGTGAAGTCCTGGTTATGAGCTGGAGTGACCCTGTAGTACAGCAATAAAGGCCAGGCACTGTTAGCCTAAAAGGCAGTTTTGCCAAAAATGACCAGGTGATGCTGGGGGAAAACACAACAAATATAAGTAAGCAGCGTGCCCTTACGCTGAAGGAGGCTAACCACATCCTGAGCTGTATTAGTAAGAACATAGGCAGCCGGTTAAGGGCCGTGATTCTGCCCCTGCGCTTGGCACTTGAGACACCACAGCTAGAGCATTGCGTTGAGACTTAGGATTCCCAGTACAAAAAACAATTGCATCCATGATTGTACACATTCAGGGCCCACTAGGATAGCTAACAGGCTGGAACATCCATACAAGGAAGGAGTAAGAATGGGTACAAGTGCTGTATTTTTTGGCTACTGTTGTCCTCAAGGACAGAAATTGAGTCTTCTTGAGGGTGCGTGCAAGTAGTAAGCAGCTACAGATGAAAACCAGAACATGAAAACCTTCAGCTAGAACTTTTCCTCTTCAAGGAAGGGGGGGTTGTTGTTAGGTGGGTATGTTTTTTCTTATTGAGGCAGGTACCTGAAGAGGTTGCAGAATCTCTAGCCTTGAAGATGTTCAAATCTCAACTACTCATGCCACTAAATACCCCACTGTAACTACATGGGGTGTGACCAACATTACATGACTTCTAGAGGCCTCTTCCAACCTTTTTTTTTTTTTTTTTTGAATCTGTAAGAACTACTGTACTTGCATACCTAACTTTACAGAGGTAGAACCCAAAGCAGAGGGTCAGAAATAGTAAGAGCCCAGTAGTATTACTGCAGTAAAAATATCAAATAAAACACCTGTGTAAAGCTCCAAAAGAATGGTCATATGGACATAAAGATTTATGTAATAAAAGTATCATGTTTTAGAGGTATCTACTTTTGTTTAAAATAGTTAAAATAAATCCATCTACCATCACCCAGGCTTTTTCCTTTAATATCTACAAACAGTGTGAATAATGGCCCAAAGCCAAAAAAAATCCTCCTGCCAGCCAACAGTCCCTAAGGACTGACCTGGGCTTCAGCTGTTACTGTCAAAAAAGAAACCACAGATAAAACTAACATTTAAGTGCCATTTTTTTCAGCATGATTTTTTTAAAAGTTGGCCCAGACACACAATGCATAATTCATCTCTAACTGATCTCCCTAAAAAGAGTGAAATTTTTAATCGAAGAAAAACCTGACTGCTTTTTCTCTGCCAAATATGTTCATCTTCTCACTAACATATCCTGGAAGTGGGCATGTAAAGCTAAACCATTACAATATCTTAATTGGCTTAACTGAAAACAACAGAGAGGAAAGAAGGATGGGTATCACACTACACATTACATAGTGTTACTTGATTAACTTTGTTGATAGCTGTTGATGCAAAGAAACTCCAGAGTGTTTGGGTGTGCCTTGTTTCATCTAACCCAGTCCTTCCAAAGTGGGGACTCAGAAGTGAAATCATACTGGGAGTGAACACAGTAGAGAAAGTACTGATTTATGGATTCCTACCAATGTGTAGCACTAAGATATTAAACTGCTGCCCCTTTTGCAGTACCAAGGCACCCTTTAACATCAGTTCAAGAACATGTTGCAAATATGCTGTGCAGTTTTGAAGACTATTGCTTCAGTGATCCATGAAAAGGTGCTGCCACACTACTACAATGAAAAAAATCAACATTTTCACCTATTGATGCCACTTGGATGGTTAGAACCAAAAGACTTTCAAAGTAGGCAGTAAGCATTAACAATTAAATTCATAACTTGGTAATGAGTACTTGCAGCCCAGGGAGAAGTCGCCCTTTAAATCACTTCGTCCAAGTTCTTTCCCATCCCACTTTAAGATTTTCCCTCATCTGGGGCACAAATTTGGGTCAGTAGTTGAATAAAATGTAGTTGTGTCACCAAATACGCTGTCATTAGGATTCTCTTGAGAATAAAGAACATGGCATCCTTATCTGTGTTCTGATGGCACCAAAGCACTTACACCTGGTTCACATAGCATATTATCAACAAAATAATGAGCCCTGTAAGGGCAGTGCAGGTGCACAGTCACAGGTGAGATTAACATTTGTGTTACAAATCTGATGCATATGAGAAAAAGCAGAGGCAACTTTTCTTTAATCTGTAGTAGAACTAGACAGTATCCAAGAACAGGGCTGGACTGCGCTTGCTGCCATCATCTCAGGTATTTTTACAGTAAAAAAAAAAATGGAAATCGTGTAACACATTTAATAATAAACAGCAATAACTTGAAGAGGTAAGCCCAGACTTGGTAAGCCCAGACTTAATGTTTAAAGCTAAACAGGAGCTTGTCTTCCCTATTTGCTTTCCTAAATACTTTCCTTATCTTGTTTCTAAACCGGTTCTCACTCCTTGGTAACAACACAGTCTTTTCTCACATTTTAGCTTTTGTTTGCAAGATGAATTTAAATGAAATGCAGCACCATTCCCCTTTCCCCCCCTCCATTCAGATTTTTATCAATATAATTTTTATTGGCAGTATCTTCCACATAGAAAGGTGAATGGTCATCTGAACATATTTTTAAAAAGCAAGTACAGTTACAGTAAATGATGTTGAACTGATGATTCTAGCAACATATCTATCACTTCACAGAATAGATACAAGAGGTATGAGGAGAACATAACATGCTACCTTCTTGCCTGCAACTTTAACAATAACCATATAATGGTTTGAATTTGAAGGGACCTTAAATATTATCTAATTCCCATCCCCCTGCTATAGGCAAGGACATAATTGCTCTAAATAAAAAATTGTTCCAAATTTCTATTCCCACATAATCTTCTGCTTATCTGCTGAGGCTTGAAACAATTCCTTCAGGTATGACATTACCTATTAAAAGTTACAAAAAAAACAAACTTTTTTTTTAAACATAACACTGAATAAGTAGAAATCAGTGAAAATGGAATTGGACGCGTGGCAGTGGATTTACAGGGAAAAATTCACATCTGCTGCTGTGACCTGTGTGTTGAAGAACACAGAATAACAAATTAATATTTTTAGTATTGAATTTCCTAGAATTTTGCAGAAGTGGGATCTTAAGGGCTTAAGCCATGGCATTCAACCCCTTCTAAGGCTGCTGATGATCATGTTGCTCAGGCCCCTGTCATCTCTTCAAGTAAAAGAAGTTTCTCTATCAAGTGTTTGCATGTCTTCTATGACATTGCTTAGGCATATTATTCTTTACTCATTTTTTTCAATACTGTTCTCTTGTATCAAAAATAATGTCTCACATATATGACATGACAAAAAATATGTAGTATAGTATGTAAAACAACAGATTTCTTCCAGAATAGGTAAGTGATGAATAAATCTGAATTTTTATTTAACTACTAAATGGGTGCATATATATAAAGTTGTATGCAATACCAATAAGGCATCCAAAAAAACCTGAATGTCATTAGTTTTAAATAAAAGCTTTTATGCTAGTTTCTTCAGATTATTTATTTTATGAAGTTGACTAATGCAGCAATAGGACAAGAACAAGGAAAAGTCAGCTCAACAGCAGAGACAAAAAATACACCCTTTCTCAATCTTTCTCATAAATGATAACATGCTGTTTGAGATCTTCTAACAATAACCATGAAATACTGCAGAAAGCCATACCCAGAAAGTAAGATAAGGACTATTATGACATACACGTTGCTTTATCACTGAGTGCTCATGAAGAAAATTAGATCCATTCAGGCATTCCAGTTTGGAAGGTTGTCACACTAGTGGCTGATGGTCAGAATACAGAATATAAATCTTCCTACATTTTTGAACTATTCAGTTGTCCAGGCTGCACATTACCAGTAAAACATGGTGTTTCCATACACACTGTGTCACTGAAGACAGCAATATGCAGGTCTTAACTGTAGTCAAGAAATCATTCTCAGAGCAGGCCCCTGGAAAATATACTATAAAAGCCTCTTCTGGCAGTTATTCTATTTCAGAAGACTTAAAACAAAAAGCCTTCCTTCCTTTCTATAATGCAAACAACTCATTTTGAGAGATGAATATAATATGCTTCTGTCAGTTTCCTTCTTTGTGAAGCATCTTCAGAGACTTTTTAGAAATACAGATATTACAGATATTTAGAAAACCCAGGAGAAATTCCCTGAGAACTGTAGGCAGACATGAATGCTGATTACTGAGTTTTTCAAAACAATGCTTTTTTGCCTGCTGTTAGCTTAAAAGAATATTTTCAAGTTTTAACAATGCTGAATATCCTTGAACAAAACTTTAGTGAAGTTTCATGTCTTCTAAAAAAAAAAAAAAAAAGTAAAGCTTTTAAGTTCTGCTTCATTTTAAGAAACTAGTACATCACTAAATGCCTCAGTCTTTTAGTCATCCTCTACCAGTGTTGGTATAAAAGCTCTCCTAAATCAAGTACTGTTAAAAGAAGGTTAATTTTGACTAGCCCTTTATTCAAATGTTAGAGCATTCAGATGGTAAGAGAGCTTCAGCACAATGGAAAGCCAGTTTTATCCAAGTCATAGTGTGTAAGAAGAAATGATGCATGGAACAAAATTGAAAGGAATAGAAGAAAATGAGGTGCAAAGAGCTGCTTTACAGGACAGCCAAACTCTGGAAGACTCTTCAGCCATAACAGGATATGCCTGCTGAACAAGAACCTTTGGATTACTAGACCTGAACAACTAAGTGGAATTCATGTAGAAGAGACAGGAAAAAAAGGCCACTGGATTCTATCGGCATTGGAGTATATCAGCCATGGCCAAATACAGTTGCCTGAGGGTATCAACAAACAGTGTAATCGGTACTGTGATGTATTTAATCGTGAATGCATTAGTTCTTAGAGTGAAGCTCCTATACAGCATCTTAACTGGTCTAGCACTACTACCTACCAGTCAATTTGCATTTAACTTGCAAGCCATACCCAGTCTATTGCCAAAATAATCTTTACAAGTGCTGTTATATGAAAACAAGCATCCTAGCTGTTTTCCCCAAGGTATAGTAATTATTTCAGTTTATGACAACATTACCTGTATTCCCTTTAGGCTTAAGGTCTTTTTTAGTCTCCCACAAGAATGGTAGATTTTGTAACCTTTTTCCAGTCTGAGAATTCTGTAACCCTTTTAGCATGGATCTAATCCAGAAAGCCCAGATTCTCTCCAGGCAGCTACTTCCTAGGATTATGACTATGAGTTCTGGAAAGCAGTCTTCCCAGGAAGCTTCCTTCTCTAGACCCTGGCCCAAAAATTCACATGCTGCATTTCCCAAGAATCCTTGCTAACTAAGGTTCCCATAATATAATCTCTGGACTGATCCTTGTAGGGAAGTAAGATACACAAACTTTGATAAGGCTGAGGTCTAACACCAAGAAAGAGCCAACCTGTTAAGAGTCTCCTAATTGCAATACTCTTATTTCTCCAAGGGAATATAAACATCTAATGAAGGCATATAAACCTCCCGAGTTTCAACTTTTCCTCCAAGAATCTACGGCTGTTGTGTTTTTTGTTTTTTTTTTTTGTTTTGTTTTGTTTTTCCTGGCAAGGAGCACTTACCCTGCTGCCCCTGCGGTGTTTGTGAGATGATGAACTGTGCTGGCTGCAAGTTGGTTGTTGGATGCACCAACACAAACTGTTGCAGGTTGAGATTCTGCTGCTGAAGCTGCTGCAAGTGCTGCAAATCCTTAAGGAAACAGGAGAGGGGGGGGGGAGGGAAAAGAAAAGGGGGAAAAAAAGGGGGGGAAGGGAGGAAGAGAGCTGTGTGTTAGACATTTAAGTCATCCATGAATCCCAATTTAACTACATTTCCCAACCAATTACATTATACCATTCAGAGATAAAAAGTAGATGTCAAACACAGCAGTTCTGCTACTAAATATCTTTTAGACTGGCAATATGAATTTCACTGTCCTTAAAAAAAAATGCTTACTAAATAACCCATCAAAGCCTTTCTAACAGTGTTCTGCTTTTAAAAAATAATAATCAGTTCCCCTCTCAAAGTGTGTAAGTTTTCAAATACTTTAGCATACAAATACTGTCAGCACTTGCATTTCTCAGACTTGTTTTTTGCAGATGCAACTCTGCTACAACATTCATTGTTGCCAAATCAAGCACATTAGCTAGGAGCTATTTTTGTTTATAACAACAATCTGCAATTAGCATTTTAATTAGCAACAGGAAAGCAAAAAATTAGATTCTTAGTATGCACTCTGGTTGTTCAGGTCAAAATTTGGGAAGCTGCTAACCCAAATAGTATACAATCATATTTGATTAGTTTTGAATGAAATTACAATAAGCTTAGTAGATATGGCTACAACTACGGGCAAAAGGAATAACCCCAAACATTGCACTATTGTAGAACCCTACTTTTATGTATTTAAGCCATTCAGAACTGTTAATTTTCTATAATTAAATGATTGGTCTTGATGTAAACGCTAATCTCTGAGAAACTGAATCATCACAGTTCAACTTGCTGTTTAGCTAGAGAATGAAAACAAAACTACTTTTTAAGAAAATCCCTCAAAACTAGCCTCTTTCTTTTCCAGAAAGGACGATAATTGCAGAAAATTAAAGCACAGTGTAAAAACAGCCAACTGAACAGTCAATATGAGAGTTATCCATACACATATGCAGAATCTTTCAATCTTCCCCAGAAGCAGCTATTTCAAAATAGCTGCTCCCTGCCAAGCTGGTGAGCAAAGTCAGAAATACCTTCCATTCTTACAAGCTCCAATTCAACAAACAAAACACTTCCCAAAGCTTTCTTTCAAATAAGTCGCTCGGATACCTGAGTATCTGTTTGTTGACAGATTCCCTCTGCTGGGTCCACCTGTGTCAGAAAACATTAACAATGCCAGCCTACTCTTAAACCTTTGCTCAGTCTGATTGCTTGAACAGAGCTGCTCCCATTAACATACCTCCTAATGTACTTCAATTAAAGTGAGCCAGACTAACAAAGACCTGCTTCTTAAGGCTTATAAACTAACCCCCCATACATTTTGACTGACAAGTTAGTGAGCTCTCACACAAGCAGCTCTGCCAGCAGATGTGACAGGCCATCAACTGCCAGCAGCAGAAATGGTGATGAAAAGTCAAGACATACTGACAAGGATAACTTTTTATTTAACCAACATTAAATACTACCATTTGCAGAATAAATCTACCCGCCCGTGCCCTTACGGTATTTTAAAGATGCTAAACTAAGACCTAAAAGCTGCAACCATCTTTTTCTGGGGAAGGGGGACAGGAGTGTCAGTGGGTGGAAAGGAAGACGAGGGGGTTGAAGAGTCCCTTGATTTATGAGACCACAAACATGCATTACAAGAAAATGACTACTTAACCTGCATTATAAAGATACTGGCCATCAATCACGGAGGCAACTTCGTCACATTAAGTCAAAAGCATGCAGTGTAATAATACGGTAGACAGACACCAGATGGCATTGACCAAACAATGCCCTTTAAGAAATGGAAACTTCTATTTTACAAGAGAACGGTAAAATAATTTAAAAGCACCCCCAGCACAAGAGAGTGTTTTTTAAGTTTGCTTCAGAAAAATTGAGAAGTACTGCAACCATTCCTATGAAATCAAGGTCAATTTCTTTCATTACAAAAAAAAAAAAAAGACTTGCTCCATTTTTTTCCCCAGGAACATTCTATGTTTCTTCTGGTTTCACGGCAAAGTTATATTGGACGAACTGCTACTAAAAAAACTCCTCCTACTTCTTGAGGCCAGTGTGACATAGACCTCCAGTTCATTTATTCATTGATATTAAATACTCTACTGGTTATCTTTGCAAACTGAGCAGACCCTCCAGCACAGAGGGCCTTACACTGAATTGGACGTGAGTACTAGATGTAGAGGAAGAAAAAAAGAGTAGGGCAAGGTGACTAAAGGTAGAGAAATCTGTGTGGAAAGAGACAAAGAGAGGCTGAAGGATGAAAATACAGGTGGATAAGAAAAAAGAAGTATAAATCCAAAAGCTAGAGTTCAGAAGAAAGTTTTGAAGAAAAGAGCATGGACAGAAATATATGGGTTGCAGGCTTTCCAACACTAAAGAAAACAAATGTAAAGTCCCCAGATGACCCAGTAGATCTCGCATGATTTGAAAAACCACCACGGAAGATAAGAGTTATGTACAAGAAAGAGTACAAATAACAGGACAGGGTATTGAGTAGTGTATTTCTAAGATCAAAGCGAAGGAGAGCTTTTTGTTTAAGACCAAAATATTCATTACACAGTACTCAGCTAAAACACTGCAGCTCTTATCATCAGACTCTTATACTTTAATATGAGAAAGCTGTTTTTAAATCAAGGCCTCAGGATAACTGGTATAAGCAATCCTATTCTCTGCATCTGTCTTGGTAAATGGTATCTTGGCTGAGTCTTGTTTAAATACAGAAATATAATTACGTAATGTAGAATGAAAGTGATACCTCCAAGGCTAATTGCTCAAATAGCCCTATTGGTGCCTCAAATGCATTTGAAATCCAACTTTATTTCTACCTTGGCAAAGTTTGATTATTTCATTAATTGTCTCACTACAATAAATCTCCCACTAGTATCCACGCAAACAATTCCTGACATGGTTTTCCTAGGCAGTTCTTTGTTTTCTGAACTGTCAACTCTATAATACTATTGCAAGTACGTAGAAAGAGATAGACTGATTTTTGTGGAAATGTCTTTTGGTTCTTCCCAAGAAGCTAGCTAGATCAAAGCAATCCAATTCCTACCTCAGCAGAATAATCCACCAAGAAAAGTGGAATATCTTGAAATGAGGACTTTATTCAAGCTAAAATTCTAAATTTGATGCCATTATTTCAAGTTAGATCTTCACTAAATTCCAGTATGTCTGCCATTTTGAGGTTTATACCATATAAACACTGACAATGGATCTGAAAACAAGAAGTTTACAAAGTACTCCAAAACTTGGTACAACTGTTTAGTGATGATTTTGCATCAGCCCAGCAGCAGCACTAACATCTTAACAGATTTCTGCAGCAGATACCTTACGTTAACTGCAGTGCACATTAAAGAAGTCATGCTTGTGCAATTAGTTAATTAAAATAAATATGGTAATCCCCCTGCTGCAGAGACCTGCCAGTTAATCAATTATTCAAAAATCATCAAATAAAATAAACACTCAGCTATTTGTATAATCAGCTATGTGTTTACAATAGCAACACAATGAGGAGCACTGCTCATAGAACCGTGTTGAGACAAGTCAAAAGACATACTGATATCCAACTACAAACTTATACAGTAAGTTTTCCATAATATATTGCAAGCTATGTCCAGCAGCTGCAAAAGTTATGCCCTGAACTTTTATCATAAGAGGAAGCTAGAACAAATCAACAAATCTACTACACTTATATACCAGAATAGCCTATCCTAAAAGAGATTGTTAAATCACAAATTTAAGAACTCAGAAGCCCAAGAAAACAAATGAAACGTTAGTTTGTTCTACTTGCACTACAAATACACATTATATAGTGGCAACTACATGATCACATGCTATTTTTCCATAGAGCCTCATTCAAGCACACAAGATAGACAATGTTCACTTCAGAAGATCCTGTCTGATGGCATATGCTTAATCATTTCAGCTATACACAAAGTCTTCTCAGAAGGCTTTGCAAGTTCTAGAGAAAAACCCAGTGCTAAATAAGTAATTGGAAGTGCACACGTTCTCATAGCCTCCCACTGAAGAGGAAGAACAGGATAGCAACAACTCACGCATGAACAAAAATGACACCAAAAGCATCGACCATGTTGGCCAGGTAAAGGTAAAGCCAGAAAGCTCAAAGTACAGATTTAATAGGAAATTCTAACACTCAGTGTTTCAGTAAAGCAGACCTCACTATCCTTAAGTTGTACACCCAGAGGATAAGAGGCACACGACTATGGATCACTTACATTTAGGTCAAAAGGTTGCATAATAGCAGATGAGAGCTCTGACACATGCACAGAGAGATGCAAGAAACTAGCTGTCAGCTTCCTTGACATGGACATTTTTTATTCTTTTGTTGAAATAAAGTCTGTCTTAAGGCTATATACAAAGGCTTAACAAAATTAAGAGATAGTCTTGGTAACTCAGTTTCCTTAAATGTTATATCCTCGAATCATCTCCAGATCATGACAGTACGCCAAGAGTCTCATCAGACAAGGTCAATACTGGCCTTTGAATCTGTGCTTCTTGTATGGCATCACAGTAGCCTCTGCAGGGACTGCCAGAAGTCAGAACATTTAGACCAACACCACAGAGGGTGGCTTCAGCTAATAAAGAAAAAACAGTAACAGAACCAGGCTCCACAATGGGCTTCACAAACAGCTGTGATATTTCCATTCTTAATCAGTTCTCATCTTCACTTCTTAGACACTTCACCCCAATTGAATGCAAGTGAACAGTCTGAATAGAAAGCATTGGAAAGCCTTTAAAAGCTGATCATGGTAAGAAGCAGTGACCTTGGAGATTACATACCCAACATTGTACAGCTAGACTAATCATACTGAAATATTACATATCAAGAACTTTACTCTCTGGAGAAATGGACCCCAACACTAGCAACACAATCACCTGTAAATAGTACTCATGATGCCTATGCTCTATGTTTGGTTATTCTTGTCCAGAAGCCTAAGCAGTTTCAACACTACATGTGTTAGTTGTTGAGTCAGTGGTGCCTCATTCTCAACACTAAATTAAGCCAATACTGGAAGATTCAGGAGGATCTTTGCCGCTCCTAGTAAGTAGAATTTCCTTGGCAAGCAGTTCGTCAGAGGTAAGAATTAACAGGTCTTTAGCAACAGGCCATAAAACTAGACAAATTCTGACACGACTCATTCTAGCAAGATTTTCTCTAGACAAACAGGAACACTAATATTCTTTGTCACTGAACTCTGAGCATTAAGCACCAAGCCAAGTTAGCAGACTTATCTGTCAAGTCAAGCTGCCTTTTTTCAGCTGTCATTTTATCGTTTGGACCTAAGAAGCATCTTTCATGCTATGTGGATATTTCTTCCCATATCTAAGTCTCAACAAGTGGCATTTCTATGGGCCTCTTTCTCTATCCATTTTTCTCCCCTTCACGCTAACTACAAGGAGCGAAATACTGAAAACACTGCATCTGCTCAGCTTCTGGAACCAATTCAGAAGCCCAGTGGAACTGGTAAGCACCTGGTTTACATTCTCAGCTATAGCCACCAACCTCACAGCTAAGGATGAGCAAGGAAAGACTAAGAGTACCTCAAGGATTCTGGAAACTCATTGAATAAGGAATAAAAATATTACTTCAATGATGCAATTTGTCAAACTCCTTCATTTTCCACCCTCTCAAGCCTCAAGGCTCACCTGTGCAATCTGTATTGGCTGAGATAGAGGGATCTGCGTCATCGGCGTTGCAGCAGAGGCCGAGATGGTGGCACCAGCAGCGCTGTGCTGCTGACTGGCTGAATGCTGCACTGCAGCTGCCAGCAACTGTGCCTGCGCCTGTTGTAGCAATAACTGTTGCTGGGCTGGCGTCAACGTGAGCTATAAATAATTAGAAAACAGCCATTAATATCGGGAACAGCCACTTTAGCTACAGAGTCATTAACTAGCCCATTACTAGTTATATTAACCAGACATTCTTAGAACTATTACTACAGTTCAGCCATTACCTACCCAATGACTTTGGCCTTAAATAAGGACAGCTGGCTACTCAAACACGCTGTATGAATCAACCTACCACAGAACTGACATAAACCAAACCAAACGAACAGAAACATTGGCACTTACTGGAACCCACTGAACCTAAATTTACTTCTAAGTTTTCTCCATAACTCTACCAGGAGGTTCAGGGAAAAGGTAATTAAGTAGCAAGCAAAAGAAAAGAATCAGTAATGCCAGGACTTGAAAGGAAATTTACACCCAGCAGAACAGCAAGTGATTAGCCAGATGAATGAGAAGCAGGAATGCTGGCTATGGCTACTGAACAAACTGATAACACCCCAGCTGCTTCACATTAGCATGAATCCCTGCCATATTCCATCATTTCCATTATGCCCTAAGATATAAGTAAAGAACATGAGATCCATTTGTTTCTCTCCAAGTCTCCCCATCCGCCTTTTTTTTTCATTGTTATTAAATAGAATAGAGTTGGCAACTTTACATCCCTTTCGTTTCCCAAACACGCATTATCTCTGTGAAACAGGTGGCAGCAGTCTCTCCTTTACATGTAAATGAATCTTGATGCCCATATTTACTACAATCCATATCTGCCTAGTCCTAGAGTTCTGTGTTCCACTACTGCAGACATTCATAGAACAAAACCAACATTTTTCTCATTCTCAAAAGTCTTGAAGTTATTAAACCCCACACACTCTATTACAACAGTCTCACTTTTAAAACTTCCAAATATAATTAAGCAGAAGCTACATAGGATGTTCCTTGCAATCTAGCTTACTAGAAAATTCTACTATTGAACATGAAATTAAGATATCATTTCATTCAGCTGTAGAGATGACCTAACTTAACACTTCAAATTATAAGTATATTGCTAGAACTACCCTAAATTCCTTATTAACATGAAAACTCTTAAAGCTGCAAAGCTGATTACATGGAAGCAAGTTCGCTACCCAAACCAGCCCATTCACAAAACTTACTATTTTTTTGTTGCTGTTGATGTTTTTAAACTGACTGAAAGCATTTAGAACTATTTAGAAGCACCAATTAAACACCTATCCTACAATTCCTCCAAAAACTTTGCAAAACTCAAAATCAGTAGGTTAAAATAGAAGGATTGAATAAGCTTAAGGCACAGAACATCAGAAGTTACTTAAAAAGAAATTTATATGAGAAGAGAAAATTAGTGACAGCAGTTCCATCATTTCTGTTCATTATCTTAAACTCAGGTAACCCAGTATGACACGTTCTCGTCCTTGCACGCCTCATTTTAATCTTGCAATAAAATAAAAATTCCTCTTTAAGACATCAGTGAATTCCTGATGTGTACACAGCTTTATTGCAGAATTTTATTTTGGGGAATGCAAACAGTTTGCAACAAAAACAGATGACTGAAGTGTGCTTCCTTGAACAGGAAAATATATTCTAGTCCCTCTTTCACTCCAGCTTCTTCCTATATTAAAGGAAATGACAGTAACCTTCACTGACAATTCTACGGGGACAGCAATAGTGCCATCGTTTGCCGGACAGGAGGCTTTACTACAGTACTCGTGGGTAAATCTTACCCCGGTGATCTGTCCTCCGGCCAGCATGAGCTGGGTTTGGGGTATGGCCGCCTGCACTGAAGGCTGCTGGGAAGGCTGGCTTGGCTGCTGAGAGTCCCCAGATTCTTCATTAGATTTAGACTAGGAAGAAAAAATACAACTCTTTATAGTGTAAAACAGATGTTAATGTATAACACTGCTATCTCAACACTGCACAATAAAAATCTTTCATCTGCATACAAAAAGCCCTTGGGTTTATTTTAAGAGTGGGTTTAAGCAATGGCTCTGTGTGCCCACCATCTCAGCTATGATTGCTCAAATATGTCTGTAGGTAATGCAGTTTGAACAAAACAAAAAGACTCTCAGGTCTTTTGTGACTCTGACATTATTTTCAGATCTCATTTCATTTTATGCAATGCAACTGAGGCTGACACTACCTTGCACTGTAAAGAAAGAAAAGGTTGTTAAAATTATTCATTGCCTAAAATCCTCAACAACGGAACATGGGAAAGGAGATTGTGTTTCCATTTTCTGTATTTGCATCCTGCACCTTTAAGTCATCATATTGTTTGGCTTATAGAGAACTTGTCTGAGAAATCCTCACAGGTTTATCCACTTAGAGCAGAATGCACAGTACATACAGTGCTTCAAAATAATCAAGGTTTAGCATTTAATTGAATGCTGCTTTATTTTGAAAGGTTTGTTGTTATGTTTTGTTTTTTTTTTTTCTTAAACAGAAGAAATTGTGAAGACATGAGGGAGGAAATGCAAGTGCATGAAGAGGGGGAGAGAGTTTTATGATAATTAAAACTGGTTATGCAGAACATTAAAATTCAGCATAGATTTGCATATTTTCCACCACCTGTTTTGGGGACTGCAGAGCAGGCTAATTAACATAAAGGCTCTGATTAATTCTGCCAGTCATTGAGCGATAATTACAGCGCAGGACTGTAAACATTCTGCACTGGAGATACAGCCTGTTTGCCAACATCTCTCTCAGGGATGGAAGTTTACCATGGCAACCAAGGCAATTTTCTGCCTCCTTCCTCTCAGAAAGGAAGGTCACTATACCTCCTCTTCTTTCCAAATTGTTATTATGTATAAGTGGGTCCACATTCTATTGCATTTCATGTAATGCACTACCTACGTCCTTTAATAACAAGCAATACCGAAACCAGTTTTCAATAAAACTATGTCCCTTGCCCCTTAATATAGTACTGGGAAGAAGTGGCACGTTAACCAATACGCTGAAGTGTTCAGCATCATAAAAAGTTTGAAAGCTTTGTTGTCTCACATACATTATTAAGCAATTACTTTGACTTATTTTGAAGATACTGCATGTTGTTTACACAAGCAATCTATGCTAGCCATATTACACAGATAATGTCATGTTATATTCCTGTATTCAGCTACCAGAAATAGGGACAGTTTACGAAGTAATACCTGCTATGTTTAAAGGAAGTGAAGTGGAAGAACATGAAATACTCCTGGAGTTGTACAGTTTTCACGATACATTACAACACCTGACTGAACATCAGAACAAAATGAAGACCACTGGATGTTCTAACTACCTCCGTTTCTGCATCCTTACAACCCTAGTCCCAGTTTAGAGTTGTGAAACTACCATCCCCCTGTATCTACCACTTGCAAGACCTATCAAAATGAGAAAACAGAGTAACATATCAGGGGTTCAAAGGTATCTCTGACAGGACCAACAAGTTGTTTAGAAGGCAGAATGAGAGAAGGATGAACAGCAGAAGGAAGCAGTCTTTACCTGTACATTTAAGGACTGAGCAGCAGCCTGTAAACTTGTTCCAGCGAGCTGGACCTACAACACAGTGCAAAAATGGAAGTGAAGTAATGTTGAATCCACAGAAAACAGTGTAAGAAGGAAGTACCCACCCCAAAAAAAAACTGCCCCAAGAACAATGCCTGTCCCTCTAACACTCGAATCACTGAAATATGGGGGATGAGCTTCAGACCAGAAAAAAAATTAGATGTATATCTGTATGACTCAGTGTTATTTGTCTACCTCTTGTGGAAGGTATTCCTGCCTAGGGACCCAGATATTAAAGTGAAATTGAGAAGAAACAGAGCATTTTGGGGGTGGACACCCTATTCATTCTGCTTGCTGCATAAAAATCCACAGTTCAGGGGAGGGTGCTAAGCTCTACTCATCATCCTGCTAGTATTTCAGAATAGGTCTTTCCCTAAATATGCACACTGCATTCACCCGCTTCCTTATACGACAGAGGAGCAATCACCTGCATAGCACAAAACCCACAGCAGAAAACTCTTCCACAGATCAACCTGACGAAGTATTTGCAGTCCTCAGCCACTGAAAAGACTGTCTCAAAACAGAGGACTGGAAAAGCTTCACAAAGGTGGTATTGATCTAGGTATACTCAAAACTTGAATTCAACGTTTGTGATTCACAGACAGATCCAAAGTAGATCTTGCGTTAGATCTTGTGTTACCAGCAAAAAGAATCTGATGTTTCAGAAAGAGGTTTTTAAACACTGGCATTTTATCTATAAGAAGGATTTTCTCTGAATAACAAATGCTAAGTTTTTATTTACTGAAGACTGTTTGAATCAGTTTCTCCTTGTTTCTACCACCACTCCTGCTACAAATAAGGAATTCCATGTAATTACCAACACTTTCAAAGGTCAGATTAACAGCCTGTAGTGAAGTCCATCTCTAACCACGTTTGAAAACCACAGCTCATTGGAAAGCCAGATAACACAAGAAAAAAATAGTCAAGATGCACCACTCTGGCCTCTATAAAAATATGTCCACACATAACATACATCACAAATGTGTCAACAAATGTGTAAGCACAGGAAGGAGAGTTTTAATTTAACATACTTCAATTTAAATTAGTAACTTGAGTATTTGAACAAGCAACCCTTAAGAGTCACTCTGGAAGTATTTCCTACTGCTATGGATGAAATCCTACTAGACTTACTAAGCACGTTCTATATGAAAGCAAACACTCTCAGAAAAGCTTCTCCTCACCACAAGGAAAGTACCAGTTTCCAATTAATGTAATCTGAGCTTTTAACATGAATTAAGAGCAGAATAATAAATAATAAATCTAAATAATAATATCCTATTGTCCAAAAGAACAGACTCAGATATTTTTTTTTAATCAATTACATAATGATAAGGACCATAAAAGACTAAGTGTATCACACTCAGGTACAGCCAGAATATTCTTGAAAATCTCTCTGAATACAGTCTGGACACCCCTTCCACACACATTCTCTAATTAGGAATTAAATTGCTCCTGAATAATGCCTATATCCCAAGTATTTTGTATTGGTCTGGAGGAAAGCAGCATGTGTTAAGGCTGAATAACATCCCACAACGAGCAGTCATACTAAAAGAGGATAGCCAGTTTTTGAGTACCACACACCCACAGGTAAATAAAAACAGTTGAGATTTTTCTTTGAACTAGAGTTCCGAGAAATTAATCACTTTACCAAACATGAAGTTACAAAGATCCTTACAACTGTTTAACTAAATACATTTCCAGAGCAAGAGAAAGTATTGCACTGAATAAAACTACTGTCCTCTATCAACAAAACAAAGCCTAAAAAACAACCAGCCAACAACAACAAGCCCCCTAAAAACTCTTCAGGACAGCTCTGTCTCCCTGTTAAACACATAGTGACAAGCCACAAATGACAACATAGAAAGCAAAGCAAGTTCCCAACATCAGCCCAATCATGCTTGTTTCCACCAACATCTTTCCTGCTTTTCCATAGGCATGAAATGCAAGGCCAGGTTATGCTCTTTTAGGATGGCATAAAAGCTTCAGTAGCTCAATTATACCGCAACAACCGTGCAACCCCAGACCCCAAGCATTCAAGGTCAGCCAATTATCCGCAGTATTTTTAAACTTCAAACTTGATGTCAAGGAAGGGAAAGAAATTAGGACATTTGTTTTCATATATATAAAGTGTGATCAGGTTAAAAAACTACAAATACACCCCTCATGCTCTTCTTCACCTAAGAATGCCCCATTTTGCTTCAGTCTACATCTAAAGATCCGCTTTGATTTCCTAAACACAGTACAAGAAGAGGGATGGTAGTAGAAGCTATATACTGTCTTATACACAGGTACTTTTTCTTTAAAAAAACTTTAAAAACTCACAGAACCATATATGCTTAGTAAGTTCCATCGTTTCATATTTTTAGTTACTATGTAAGAGCTCAGAAGGTTGGAACATAGCGCTGACTACCCTTCAACACCATTTTTGTTTCCCTCGCTAGGCAGTGACAGTTTCAGAGTCTTGGCAGCTGCTGGGCTAACGCAATCCTTTAGCAGAAAGGCTAAATTTGACCTTACATTTCAACTTGGTATGTCCATTAACAATTTTAAAAAATATACTTTAGGCAGTTACAAGTCCCAAATAGATGCTTTCTGGTTCTCCCCAGTAGCTCTCACCCTGACACAGTCCACAGCCTAATGCAATGAAATGAGTGCCACAGTAAAAACTTTTCCCTGGCTAAGCTACTTAAGCATGTGGTGTGCCCACATATTCCTTTACACGACTACCCATTATTCAGAGAAAGAGAGAACACAAGAGAAGTTGTATTTGTACCTGCCATGAGTCTCCCTGACTTTGAAATGGGTCTTCTCTTACCTGATGAAGGTGCCCAAGGAAGGCCTGGGCCTGGGCTGTAGAGATTGCTCCTCCGACAGGCACAGGCTGCTTTTGAAAGTCCAGGCCATTTGTTTGCGTGCCTGGAGGAAAAGAGATATGAACTATTAGCTATGATGTTTACTGAAAGAGAAAATGATTGTACTGATACTTACATATATTACATTGTAATTAGAAAACACTCAAGAATAACAAGAATTTAACTGAAAAATAGGTTTTTAACTGAAAAAACCTGTCACTTCCAGATTTTGATAATATACCTTTCCTCATCTGAACTGAATCAGCTCCATACTTTAAATTCTTTAAAATCACCTTCCCTACCCCATGTAAACTGTTATCTCCATCATTCTTTACCATGATTTGTGAATCAAATGGCTGCGTGCTGATACGGTTGAAATGTTTCAGTTCTGCATACACTCTCTATTCAGTACCTGAATACAATCTTTAAGTTCAAAAAGTAGCAAGAACAAGGTTCAGAGATAGTCCCCTTTCATTCAAGATAGAAAAATAACACGTGAAGCAAACAGAAGTACAATGTACATAGCAGTTATGGGCAACAGGTTATTGATAAAAGATCTCTCCCCATTTTCATGAATAATTGTGCAGAGCTCTCATGCCATAACTGACTGTGCTTACTTTTGCTCATCCACTTGCATGTAGCTACAAACTGATTATTTTCCTACATTTTTGTTGTCTTCTTCCAAGACATGAAAATCCTCAAACTATCCCTAGGTAATCATATTGTGAGGAAGACAACTGAGCACTTTCTCCACAAGAATCAGAGAACTCTCTTCTGCAAAGAGAACCATAAGCTATACTATGAACTACACAACTATAAAATTCAAAGAATCATTCTGTGGGGAAATGATAAAAATCAGTGTTGGGGACTACCGGTTCTTTATGGTAGGTATTACTACCTACCATGGCTAACAACAATAAGGAAGAACGAGTTTGTCAGGCTGTATGAAATTTCTAAAACTGATGATGCAATCTTAAAAAAAATCAAGTGACTAAAATGAAGTACAAACAGCTTTAGACTTGCATGTTCATATCTTCACAACAGATCTTGCTCATTGCTTATGGACAGGTGTTCAACTAATTCCTGCTTCAGAACTCTTTCATCATCTACATTTTTTCCTCTGCAAAAACCTAGCTTATCTACTATGCAAAAGAGTCACAGTCGTTAAGTAACAACGGGGGTTTGCTATCCCTTAGAAATATCTGCAAAAAGCAAGGAGGCACAAAACCTGATTATGAAAATACACTATCCAGTATTTTACACTGCAGTTTTGACCTACAGCTTACAGAAATAAAATTCCAAAGATGAGGTCACAGTTCAATTACATCCAGATATAATGTAGACAGTCAAGCACCCATTAAGGTGCACCTAAGGTGGCCATTCAATGTGTGTTTCTTTTGGTGGAGGTGGTGTGAGGGAAGACCTGATGAACTCTGTTTTTCACTCTGTGCTTTGGACCAGGTTTTACAGACTTAGAGAAATCTATTGCAGCCAAAGATCCACAGACAAGTTAAAAATACTGAAATTTCTAACTACATAAAATTATTTTGCACAGTGAATCTAAAATTCCAATTCAAAGTGCATGGAAAGACTTATCACTGGCCTGAACTGATCATGAATATGAGTCAGTTGCATTTTGCCACAGAAAGTTAGGTAAGAAGATCTGTTGGAAGAGCTAGACGAGTTATGTCCACTCTTTTGAGTAAACTGCAGAATTCTCAATGCAAAAGTGGGATTCTCTTAATGGGAAAATGACTAGGTCAATATAAAAAATTAAACTCTGATGAACAGCTACTGTAATTCAAGGAAAACAATCTACAACCTCCTAATTTAAACAGATGCTTTGAATCAGTTTTTTTCAATCTGCACCAAGGAATCACCAAAAGCAGGGAAAAAAAGAAAATCTAGTGTAAGGCAGGTGTTTCTCATTTCAATCAAACTTGCAGGTTTCAAAAAAAGTGACCCATTTCCGAGCAAACTACCTGGAACCCTCACCTTAAACAAACAGATGAGGTTGTTCCAGTTAGTTGTCTTACAAAAAGAGCTTCAAATCATGATACCATATTAAAAAAGCACCGCTACAAATGCGAATAGAGATGCTCCAAGCTGGCACTTCTGCCAACTCTTGATATGGAGACTTGAAACAAGCCCTATAGGTTTGACAGTTTTGAACAAAGCAAGTTAAAAGGCTGAGCTTTAAAATATTCATTGGTCCCAAAAAGCAGTTTAGACAGGTACTAAGAGAAATTAACATTTTCTTTAAGTCAGTCCTTGAAGTACTATAACTCCTTCCCCCCACACCTCCCAAATTTCAACTCCAAGCAAAAACAAAAACTAAACCCCACCTGTTCATACTCTGTGCTACTTGCACCCTATGCTTTCTTTCATAACTGGAAGTAGTGTCCCTTTCCCCTTTGGATGAAGCTTTCGTTTTAGAAGGAACGCTACTAAGGTTGCTTGCATTTATCACAGGATGCCTACATCTTTTGAAGAACAGCAGGGAAAGTGAACTTTGAGTTCAGGATACAAGAGGCTTTGCTCTTAAGGTGCTCCTAAGGATGTGACAGCATGCCTGTGGAATCCAAGAAATCTGGTAAGGAGACTGGAAAATGAAGCTATCAGAATCAGAAGGCCAACACAGTGCAAGGACGTGGAAAGACCGGAGTGCCACTTTGCTCAAGATGAGTTAAATGTAAAAGAAAATAATATTAAGAACATGGCAGATGGAATCACAAGTACTGTGATTATAATATAAGCATTTACATCTTTTCCATCTCCTTCCTAGCTCTCACATAACTGCCAGAGCTGATCTAACAGCTCATCAACACCAAAAAAAGTGGGAGTAGAAAATCTCAGTCTCCTATCTCTGTTTCCAGATACATGATACCTGTTCTACCCCTTCTGATATTTCATGGACACAACAGTAAGTCAATTCACACTGCTAACTGAGTAGAAAACTATTCTGGTGAATTGTTCCTTTTCTCTTTTGGACAAGTTAATTCATATCTCACTGAACTGGCAAAAAAAAAAACTATCTTAGCTTAGGGCCTGATAAGCAGCAGATGATGCAAACAAGGGGAGAATGGAGAGTTGGCAGTAGGCAAACAAGCCTCCCCCCATTTCCAAGTTGCTGGGTTGCAGCAAGCACTAGGATGAAATTTCACCCTTATAGCCTGAGTCCAATGCAACTTAAGCACCTTTATATTCTGGAATAAATTTAGTCATGAAGTTACCTAGTTCAGGGAGCCGATTTGGATGAAGACTAATATAGAAAGTGCAATTAATTTTCAGATGAATCATATCTTTGAACCATCTCACTCAGTGCCACTCCAGGGAGAGGAACAGAACATGAACTACTGGGGCAGCCTGAGCTTGGATTAGTTTGTACTGTCTTAGAACTATACCCTCCAGAAGACAAACAGGACTAAACAGAGCAGGAAGGAAGCACTGCATCAGCAATCAGAAGAAAAACATGCTTTCAAAATCCTAAGACAACAATCATCAGAATTTAGCCCAATCTCACAAACTGCCCAAGAAAGCAAGAGGAGAGAAGAACTACAAGTCTGGGGAGATGTGGAATAAGGTGCGAGAAAGGTCTTATGAAGGGACAGCAAGCAGAGAGAAGGAAGATTTCCAAACTAACTTGAGTGGGTATCTATCTGCACTGTGCTCTGGGAGATGTCTTCTAGTACTGGCATTACATTTCCCCATCCACACTGTGAGCAAGACAGATCCCCAGTACCCAGAATTTGTTGATTCCTTATCCACATTACTAATGAAAAGTTTAGTAGCAATATACACCCAGCATGCTAGCAGTTCAAGAATATTTCACAGTCCCTCTCTCATAGACTTTCTTCTTCTGGAAACTGGAAATTCAATTTCAGAAAATGAGGCAAAGCAAACAAGAATACTTAGAAACCTTCTTTCAAATACTACACTTAAATTTTATTATTTTGCTGCTATGTCAATGCATGCCCCAAGGCTACAGTTTTCAAAAGACATTATAACTTTGGCTTTCATACTACTGCATTCACACAGCATTTTAAAAAGAATATGCACTAAACAAGAAAAAAAGTTGAATTGTTCTGGAAAATTTTCCTACATAAAGGAATCAAAAAAGACTACCAGTTTTCTTTAAGACAAAGTCTTACTTTCTCTTTTTTTTTTTTCCAGTAGATACTAGATGGCCTATCCAGCCACTGCTCAAGGTTGGAAAAGAGTTGTGTGAAAACAGCTGTCCAACAACTTTTGCACGCATTGAGACTTTGTTTTTAATTCATCTGAAATATGGGTTACTTTTTCAGATCCTTGCATGGGAAGTCAAATTAACACACAAAGTTAAAATCTGTTTCAGGCATTTTATTGTGACTAATTTCAGCGAACTTCACTGTGTTTTCTAAAGAATGTTAGAAATACAAAAGCCTCATTTGTTAACTTTAATGAAACTTCATTATCAACTGAGAACTTTTGATGTTGTCATCTTTACCAACGGTAACTGTATTTTTATTCTCCTTCAAGTGTTTGCTCTGCCCAATTCCATATCCAATAGCATTTTCTCTTAAAATTTTCAAGTCCCATCAGCTCACTGCACTGAAAGCAGGAATGATCCAAACAAACAGCCACTGAGGATCAAGAGATAGACGAGCAGTGCTTACACAGTAGACTCAAGTGATTTATAAGTGTCACCAGGAAACAGACAATTACTGAAAAGCCACAAAAATCAGAACTCTGAGCATCCATAAAAATAATCTTCATGCATGTAACTTCAGAGCCTATGCTCCCTAGACAATCAATGGCACTCCCCCTTCCTTAACATCTGACTTGACTTCTTCTCACTAAGTATGCAGAGCCCAGAACCAAAACCAGAAAACCCTGATCAGAAGCCTAAAATTACTTTCCATGAGTATTGCTTTAAGGGTTTAACATCTGTCAGTTGACTAACACAACTGATGCTGGAAACCCCAGAGAACATCACAAAAGTTATTAATAACTACCTCCAGTGGTTTATGAGCACTATATGCTTGAGAACAAAACAAAGACCACAGAACAAAGGGCCCTCAAAATTCCAATATTGTTGTAGTCTGGGTAACTTTAGAAAAATAGATCACTAAAAGTCATGAAACATATGAAACGAATGACTGGGAACATTTAAGTTACAGAAGCAAGGTTTGCAGAAGGTCCAAACGCCAATAAGAGTCAAACATCGGTAATAAAGTTACTGTAGCATGATAATATAAACATTACATTGTAATCCCTTTTGTAATAAAAGCATCTACAACAACTCTTCCTTTCTTTGTACCATGACCACCATCCCTACACTGACAAGTATGTGCCAAGGGCAGCAGAGCCAGGGTTCTGCTTAAAGCAGGTGTAATACTTCTGTGACAATGGACCACCTCCAAATAAACCAAGTCCTCCTGAACAGCTCAGTTGAGGTAGAAATGCTAGTTAAAGCTGCACGTAGATCTAAACTTTTGAGAAAGCATACTCAGGGAACTGAAGTCAGACAGAGCAGCAAGTCTGAGTTTTCTCAGAGGTTTATACAAACCCGTCAGATACAATGATTCAATAAAAAAGGGATATTTAAGACCATTGTTCTCCTGATGGTATGATTATGAAATATTTCTAGCCTGTACATTTTTGAAATAATGCTATAAATCATGCTAAAGGAGTATTAAATAGATAATACATCATTTTTGTACATGGAAAGCTATTTGTAATAGGGGAAGCACTAAACAACTGCAAGCATAAAAATAGAGATGTCAATAAAAAAAATACATTGGTAAATGAGTTGAATTCCTTTTGACTGACCCCATCCATGACAGAAAACATCCAGCCTCTGAGATCAGCATCAGGAACATTCAGTCACTGTTAGCTGTATTGAAATCTCGTACAAAGAATGAGGAAACACCAGCATAAAGTAAATTGCTAATTTCAGCACATCTTCAGAGTTTAAAATAAAAATTATTGAGCAAAAAAAGGAGGAAAATAATTCTCCTCACATAAGGTAACTAAACTTCTCTTAACTCAAGAACAGGTTCCTTCCTATTACAATTTTCTCTCCCCAAATGCTACCCTGAGCTCAGAGAAGATTTTGAGTTTGATAGAACTATTTACTGTCCATTCAGAATTGTCATTTCTTATTTCTAAAATGAACCTTAAATTACCTGCAGAAAGGAATTAAGGCATGAGATAGCATGACTGAGTTATGGTGACTTAAACTTCTTTAACGGCCTACAAATTGGCCACATCGTGATGATGTGCCCGAAGGTACAATGGCCCCAATACAAAAGCTACTCTGTCCCAGACAAATTTCAAGGTTCTGTTCTAACACATGACAACATTACAGAGAGGACTACTAACAGTTTTTTAATGTTGAGGAGTTACGCATTCTCCCTTTGCCTTGTTCCTGAGAACTGCTGTCACTTGAATAAAGTCTAAAAATGGAAATAAGATTAGCCAATAGCCCACATCTGCCAGGGAAAACTTCAGCCCCAAAATAAATGGAGGTTAGAGGTGCCAAAGATACATTCTGACAGGAAAGGATGGGATGACTTATGGAGAACAGTGCCATGAGACTTTCTGTAACATCAGAAGCATTACAAATACGAGGAAGAAGGAAGGGGAGATTGTATACAAATATTGATAATGTGTGAGTAGGGCCTGCATAGAGCAGGACTAATGATTTGTTTTCAGCATGGAGACAAGCAGCCTTCTCAAGTCTCTAAAAACAGTAGGTGCAGGATTTTTCTGGGGTGTGTGTTGCTGTTCCTGTAAACTGGTAATGAAATTTCACTTTCATTTCATATCATTTCATTCCAATAGAAAGTATCTGTGCACTGATTCAGCATTTCTTACCTGTGTTCCCATCTCCACTCTCCATCGATGGTTTACTGGTTTCTGACGGATTGTTCATTCTTGAGTCTGCATTGAAACAGAAACAAAGATGAAGTAACACGAGCAAAAAACACACAAACCTATCTATGCTTCCTTGTCCAGGAGACACACAGAACATCTGGGATTTGGTAGGTAGTTTACCCTAATTCAGCTGATTTTATAATAAGAAATGAACAGAAGCAGAACACAATGCTGCAACTTCCAAATAAATACTGTTCCAACATTTTGTGTCATTGTGCACAGTATGCGAAAGCATAGAATTGAAGGAATAAAAGACAGCATGTTGGAAGCCAAGGATAAGTAGAACTTTATTGTAAGTTCAGTGGAACTGAAAAGCGAGAAGGAAAAATAGTTAAAAAGGAAGAAAACTATGAACAGATTCAAAAATACTAGGTCTGACCACCAAGGCCTATATTCTCCTTAAACCCTCCACAAGAAAAAGAAAATTCAGGCAACACAATCAAATAGATACCATTTACGTAATTCTTCATTTTTATTTTACAGGAATGTCACCAGTATTATTTGGGATTCCCTATATATTCATGCAAAAACCTTATGAATATGAAATATTTCTCTTCCTTCTCCCTGTAGATCAACCTATTGAAAAGTCTGCTCTGGACCTGAAAGCTTGTCAGCTGAGTACAGTGCAACGGAGAGGGCCTCTCCAGATGGTAGGCAGAGACTGTTTCCATACATAGGAATCCATACAGATGTTCTGCGTACAGCATCAGCTCCACAGCTTATTACCCCCTCCTTCCTAGCTACCAACCATAGTGTGTCACATTATTGCAAACCAAATCTATAAAAAGAATCTCAAGACAGACTAGCTCATGAAATGAAGCATAAGCAAATCCTTAAACACATTCTTCCATTCCCGTAGCCTGTTAAATACAAATCAAATGACCTCAAAATTAAGTCGTTAACCTCAGGATTTCTGTTGCTTTCTAGGTGCTTAAAAAGGTTACCTCTCTCATCAAAGCAGTGATTTCCAAAATACCAGTGGCCTGAAGAGGAATACAGTAACAGCAAGAACGCCTGTATCTTTCCCCAGGTATTTCCAAGACTCTTCATTGCTCTGCAGTCTGGGAGAGTTGCAGGTGAGAAGCCAGACTATTGCCATGTGCTACCATACCACCTGCTGCTGCCCAGAGGAAACCAGTGTCCTCCTCGGGATATCAGAACCATGGGCAAGGGCAGAGGAGGGACACATGAATGAACCAAACAGAAGACACATGGACAGTGTCTGAATGAAAACAGGAGTCACATCGAAGCTTGCCTGGGCGTATTGATTAACTAGATGTGGAAACTAGTTAGAAATGCAGCATATAAGACAGAAAAAGGCAGAAGATGTAACATTTGGAAAGACTCCAATATGTATTGTTGTCTTAAGTCTTAAAAAATGTAAATATTTTTAAAACTAATGTAATTTTCCACATAAACAATTGATACAGTGGAACCAAGTGGGGCCTAGAAAATCCAGCGGATTGTAACAGACAGGAACCTGCCCCAAGTTAGTTCAGCCTCTCCAGAGTCTCAACTCTTCTTTGCGAGTTCCTATGGCTATGGATCACATCTTTAAGTGTCAGCTGTGTGTATACCTGATACCTCAGCTGGCCGCAGACATACTCCCTTATAAATGTTACTCTTAGTACAAAGGCAAATGCATTAAACTGCCTTTTGGAACAGGGAGTGAGTGAGGAGAGCCATTCCAGCTGAGCACTCCTGGCCCACATATCAGCAAAGGGCTGAAGTTTTGCCCTGATTTCCACAACCTCTGAGTAGGTAAGAGGTTGATTCAAAGAAGTAAGATTCAAGGTAAAAGTTTGCAGCCTAGACCAGAGCTCTGCTAAGGCCGCAGGTACAGAACCTGCTGCTTCCCAGCTCCTCACGTTGTCATTTTACACATTTGGATAACGTCATACACACTCCAGAAGCAGAGAACACAGTTCCACTGACTACACAGGAAATAAGCTTTTTTCATGTTGGTTGACAGCTTAGATGGGGCTTTGAGCAACCTGGTCTGGTGGGAGGTGTCCCTGCCCATGGCAGGGGGTAGGAACTGAGCGGTCTTTAAGGTCCCTTCCAACTTAAACCATTCTGTGATATGCCACTGCCTGCTGATGGGTCTCAAAAAAGAAATAAGTTATGGTTTTATTTAGTACCTATGTGTACCTTGAGTTTTTTGTGGTAACAGCACACTTATTTGAAATGACTATAGGTAACATTCATTTAATAGCATTGATTTAGTTCCTTGACACACAGGTGGCTATTGAAATGTTTTTTGGTTCAGAGAACACTTGAATAGGACACTTCTTTTGGACACAAACATGAAGAGTGCTCATCCAGCAGGAACATGAGCTTATAAACCCAATATACCCTGCTGTGGAAAGTAGGCTAACTTATGGGGCTGTTTGATGTAGGATCTCTTTTTCAAACCCACAGCAGGAGAGCCTGAGCTCATGATAAGACTGATCACAGAGGGGAAGAGCGCAGGCTTTCAACAACATAGGAGCCGCTTGCTGAACACCTTTGTAAAGCTCTTGAAGAAAAGCATGCAGCACCCTGTGCTACTACTTTGTAGCAGAAACCAAAGCACTAGGGCCACCAGGCAGGATAGCCATCAACCAATGGCACCTGGAAGGGGACATGTCTGTCCCCTCATCAGGGAGCCAAGCTCTGCACTGACTCTTTCCTCTGCATGAGGATGCTCATACAACACATCTTCCTGCATGACAAGCAGGTTGGTTCAGGACAAAGGCAGAATTGTACAGGCCCCTTTCCACAAGGCGAGACATGTTTTTCTGCCAGGCTATAGTGTAAAACCAACCATTTAAAAAAGGGGTTCCAGTGTTTGCTAGTACTAGACATACAAATAAAGTTTACTCAAGTAGCAGAAGTGTGTATAAACGACAAATAATTTACTGTAAGGATTTATCCCTGACAAAGACCTCAAAAGCTGTAATTGTGAAAAAGCAGCAAGTTGGATGAAGAAACATCTTTCTAGTACTGCTCATGTTCAAATGAAGGATAGCATCCATTATTCCACCAGCTGACTGCTACTTGTTCAGTCTGTGGGCCTTCTGCATGTAAAGCATCAAGAACAATGCCGCTATTTCCATTGCAAATGGTATGGCATACATCTGAAGCACAGAACTGCCACCAGCAGAACAGACATATTCCTGCAGGATACGAAACCTACAGATTCATTATCAACAGAGATTATTTGCTTTATATATACACTCTTAAGTTCTCTGCTTTAAAGTTAAAAGAATAGAGACATGAAGTGGGCTAAATATATACATATAAGATATATATGTGTGTGTATATATATTAATAAATACATATATTTATTATATATATAATTATTTTATATATATATATATAATAAAAAAATCATAATGCCTTCACCTTTTCTTCTTGCTTTAGACCTTTCTTGGGTTTCAAATAAAGGCCCTGGGCTACAACTTAGCCAACATCATCTCAAAGTAAACTCCACAGAAGGAAGGATCGAAAGCAGCAGGTGCATGATTGAAATCAAACTCTCAGGAGTGATTCCAGTCAGTACTGCTGCTCTGCTAGCAGCAATGAGCCACGCTTTCGCAGACCCTCAGTAACATTTCAGAAGGCATTCAGAAGAAAGAAGCAGACACCGGACCAACATGGACTACTAGGAACTGTATATGCCTAGCAAAACAAAATCCTAACACAGAATTTCTCTTGCTATATCTTTTCATCCATATGAGTGAAAGTGGCTAATACTCCATCACAGCCAGCAAAAATGTTTCACTGATGCACATGGAAATAAAACAAAGTTCAATGTGAGTGCACACACACACCGAAAACTCATGCTGAGGTTTAGAGTAGATTTAGAGTAGAAATTCATTTTCAGAAAACCATTTCATGTTCAGAAACAAATATTCATGTGTCTGCTTTAAAATTAAAATAAGAGTGCAAGATTTAAAAGTAAAATAAGAGTGCAAAAATGCACTGTTTATGAACATATATAATGCAATTAAAGAGATCAGTATAGTGAAGTTCAGGGAAAGAGCCTTGAAAACAAAACCTATTGCAAAACTAGAATGATCTTTTTTTTGAAAATAACTTAAAAATACATTTAGAAGAAATTATGGCATGCCTGTTCTGTAGTCCTGATGGAATCTCAGCTCAGGAAATACATTATCCCAGTAACCTTAGGCACAGCTTGCAACGGTATCAATGGCAACCACTGTGGACTCCACCTTATTTTCTCTTACGCTTGAAGAACCCTGCTATTACATTAAAAACACACAGATATAATATACATTCTGTTGGGAATGCCTCAGTGCAGCTAGTAAATTCTTCGAGACTGAGACCCCCCTCTTTCTTATTTTAATGCTCTGAAATTTCAGATACACAGACATGCAAGTCAAGTCCTAAGTCTCAATGTCTGTTAAAGGCTAAATGCTTCTCAGATTGAAATCTGAAAAGCAAAAGGTCTGTATTAATATCATCCAAGCACAAGCTTAACTGCAAATTTCTTCAGTGCAGAGGAAAAGAATTCTCCTGGATCGAGGGAAAGTGGGAAAAAAACAACACGTTTCCCTGGTATAGATACATACAGCATATACATATCATGCAGCTACTTGCTGCCGATTCACTGGTGAGCTTCAGCCTTGCAAGCACCTTCTCTAGTCTCTGCATATGTGATTAAGCCTCTATGCATAGTCAACCTCACACCCTCTATTTCCATATTAAACGCTTATAAGAAAGAGCTGAGCTGGTACCCACCTAGAACGTAGTCACTGCAGTCCAGCATTGCTGTGGTATCCTCTACAGGTTCAGACAGTCCAAGGAAAGGGAGAATGGCAATTTCTATCAAATCTACACTACTGCTCTCAACGGCACAAGAAAGGGAGTGGGGAGGTGGGGGAAGAAATACAACTTCAGTTACACCATAGCAATCTTCAACTGAACAGGGAAACTTCAGTTGCTCTGTGGAGTTTTAGTCTCTCCTACTAGCTGTGTCTGACATTGTCAAGGCGACTGAAGCGTGAAAAGTTCCCCTTTTTGTAATAAAATAGAAACAAAGATTGCAGCTGGCAGTTTCCATAATGAAGCTTAATCAGTATGCGCCTGATTAGGGCCTTATGCAAATCTCCCCTCGTTAGCACAGCAGCCAGCACTTTGAAGTCCATGAACAATTCATTTGCAGAGTACACTGAAAGCGCTCCCTGCATAATTTAAATCACGGTATAAATATTTATCAGCTCATTTGCATATTAATTGGCAGTGCATGAAGGGAAAAATTATCTCCTGAGTGCCAGCATAATAATTAGGGAACAAAATGAAATTTCTTCCAATAGCTTGGCTTCTCAGCCCTAACTCGAGCACAGTACCACAGGGGAGCAGGGAGGGAAGAGAGACAGAGTTCTGTTAAAATGCCACTGAAATGACACGTACAAATTAGAAACAACTCTACAGACTTAAGCACCTTTAATCTTATTCCTGCTGGCAACAATAACTTCAGTAATAAAGGGGATTTGGAAAAAGCTTTCTACACAATCCAAATAATCCCATGAAAACAATTAGCAAGGTAGAAGCCGAACACAGAGCTGTCAAACTGGTGCTTGCACATCTGTGTGGCGTTTTCCACATCGCAACACGGACTGTCACAAGAAGGTCCTGGGCAGGAAAGAGGAATACCAGGGCAGGGAAGCAGCACAATTCTTTTTAAATGGCTAAAGAGCTTGGTGATTCATTATCTGGTAATCCCTTTGCAACGGCCAAGTTAACAGCAGTGGATGTGTCAAGTATTGTGTAACATTTGACACCCACTAATCTATCCCAAGTGAAATCAAAATAGATTTAGTTTTTTGCTTTCCAGTGACTTCCAAGGAAGAAAAAAAAAAAGCTATTATTAATCCCTTCCACAAGCAAACACAATATAGCTAAACAAAGCTTACTGCGGTGCTACGATTTTTAAAAGGGACATTTTACACCAGGCTTGCAGCTTTGAACCACCCAACAATAATCAAGAGCACACTTGCTGCTGTGTCCATAATACGCTGAAGGACTGGGAAATAGGGAAGAGGCTTTGGTCTACAGAGGAGTCAATCCTCTTTTCCAGAAGTGCTCCACAGAATTAAATGTACCAAAGAACTACAATGCTACACTGAACCACTGCAAATAGTTTGATTACCATTCAAATACCGGTGTCCAAAACAGCAAGAACATTTACATCAAAGTGTAATGTGGACATCCCAACACATAGTATTCCATGTTCTGATCAGAAAAAAGTGTGATGATCAGTGCTGGGGACTACAGGGTTGGGCCAGATGTTAATGTGAATTTAAAGATTTATTTTTTTTTAAGCTAGCTGTACTTTTCTTCTCCTCATTTCTGAAGTGAATTCAAGCACCGCCTCTCCAAACAAGAGAGTGCGAGAGAAAAGGGACTTCGCAGTCATCCACTACTGACTGGAATTTATTTCCACGCTTGACCTCTTCTTCTGTTCAGGTTCATATCTCTGCTTAACACAAGACGTTCCCCACTATATATTTAACATGAGTGATCTACACTTGAAAAAGATTGCAAGAAGGGAACGTGCTCCTAACCACAGGGAAACAACCGTGTGTACCAAACAGCTTTTCCTAATACCTGGTTTCCAACTGTTTTCTAGAGAGCTGCGTGTCCCATCAAGACCTCTGAGGCGCATCACGGTTCACAGACCTTCACTAGACCACGTCTGTCCACGCATGTTTTTGGATCACACTGCGACAGAATCCACCTGCTTCATCGGAGGAGGCAGGACACGAACGGTGACACTGGACAAAGCCGGTGCCAGCTCCAGCACTGGCTGAGCCCCGGCAGCCAGCAAGAGGTCAGCAGTGCCGTCCCCGGGACCCTCCTCTACCAGGAGGAGCTGGTCCCACACAGGTGCAGCATCAGAAGTGTGTGAGTGCAGGAAGCGACCGTTAAAGGCAGGCATGTGTGTAGCGACACGCGACGTGTGGCTAACAGCACGACGGTGAAACAGTGAGCTGAGGCCTGGGAAGGATGTGCCTCAGGCAGGGCTGGCAAGTGCCCTGGAGCACCCCAGTGCTGGACAACAGCCACGCTACCAACCTTATGCTGACGGCTAACAAGGAAAAGGCAACCAACATGCACGTTTGAATGTAACTCCCATTGACCTGCTAATTGAAACAAAGCCACATACTTTGACTATTCAAACTAAACTTGACCAAAAGAAACAGTACTTTCAGTGACCACTGCATTCTTCATAATATGATCCTGCATTTTATGTAAATTATGAATTTTTGGCCAAAAAAAAAAACTGCTGTTCCATCTAGGCTGTACTACTCCAACAATTTCTCTGGTAGGCCACGGGAGGAGGCCTGAAGACCCAAGTAGGAAAGCGCTCGGGGAAGAACAGCATGGACCACCTGGCCTCAAAACCAATGGCAGAGCACACAACTTTCTGTTTAGGTTCTGCCATGTCGCTGAGTACTTTGTGTGGTGAATTCTCACGTTAAAAGTTACTTAATACCTTGAACCAAAAATCACACCTGTGGTACCTGCATTTAAGCAGAATATCACTCCAGGTCATGCCTTTTCCTCCAAAGGTGCCTCCAGAAAGAGAATGGTGCACACCTTGTGATCATCTGTGAAGTAAAACCCTCTCCATTTCCCACGCTGTTAAAGCAATTCTACAACTGTGATATTGATGATTCCTCCCTGCCCCTCGTTCTGTTCATATTCTTCCATAAAAGTAAAGGAACTAAAGCCACTGATGGAGGCAGGTATGGCAAAGGCAGATATTCTTCAAGTCAAATACTGCAGAAAGGTTTCAGAAGACTTTCTACCCTATTCTCTTTTTCTCTTTGCTTTTTGAATACCTTCCATACCTTCCCACTTTAAATGTTTTCGCTTCACTGTCACCACCAATTTGTCACTTCATTTACAGAGTCCTAATGATTATACTTGATAGTTTATACCTTACTTTTTGGAAAAGGTATCTCATTTCCCACTGCAGCTTATGCAGCTCCTGGTTAGACTTGCTTTTGAATCTTTTATTCCTTTTATTCCCACTTCCTCCATTTATTATGCCCAATTCACTGTAACTGTAAATTCCACAAAATTATTCCCCAATGTAACATATTATAAATAAAATGGTATAAATAGGGAAGGCTGTTATAAACTAGGAGATAAGGATATTTAAACCCTTATCTTCAGGTGCTTTGTTGGTTTTTGGTGTTGTTTTTTTAGGGGGGAAGGCAGGGGGACTACAGAAACAATGCAGAATTAAAGGGATAAAAGGCAAAGTTATTACAACATTCTTTCACTGTAACACTTTTATGGAGAAAAAGCACCTCCATTTTGATACAGGCATGCTTCCATATATTAGTAAAATGTCATTTATTACATGCTCCCAATGACAGCTAGGAAATTTCTGCCACTAGGCAGCTCTGTGACAAGCGTGACCTTTGTAAACTTCCCGACATGATTTCTGATGGAACATGGCAAGATTACCCAATAAACCAACAGCACATTATTACACTGTTGTACAGTGTACTTGGAACAAAACATGGTATTAATCACAACATATTAGCATTCTGCCTTCATTACTGCATCAGTGTCTAGTATATTTTACCATGAAGAACCACTGAAGAAGACTGGTAACAGAAGCTTTCACAATGGTGCATGACTTAGCACTACAACACACACTGGATACACTTGGAGCACAGCTGCTTTCTATGCATCCTGCCAACCAAGACCAGTAGATGCAGCTACCTCTAGTCTGACATTACACAGAGCTACTACATTTTAACTCGAGACATTTCCAAGTCTCCGTTCCACAAACTAAATGAAACCCAATAAAAGTTTCAAACAACTCCAATGTGCTATTAAAAAAATAAAAAATCACGTACTTCAAAAATAAACTGTGATTAAAGTTGGCACAATCCTCTTAGGGTAATTACAGACAGACAGACAGCAGCCTGTTCGTAGTTAGAGCTGCAAACTAAGCTCTAATTTTAGCCACCACCTTTGACTTTGGCTAACAAAATTGATTTTATCTGAAAATTGCTGTTTGCTCTGAAAGCCAAAGAGCAGTTTTCTGGAAAAGTCTAATAAAATTGGCCTGTTTTAGAATTACAGGTCATTATACAATTACTATGAACTGGAATTTCAGTCTACATCTGATTTGACTTCTCTCTCTAACTCAAATCGTAACTATCCTTTCAAACTTTCCATTGCAAAGTGTCTTTCATAATTCTCTCACATACCTTTTTTGAAGGCTATTAAGTACAGAGACAGCAAACCATAAATGCTAATTCATCTTATCAGTGCAGGACAGCAGACATTCATAAGCACCTGACACATTAATATAAAGGGTTTCATTTGTGCGTTTAAAAATCTCACTTATTTTTGTCCTCAGATGATAGTAGCTATAATGGTTTAAGTCATTTTTATGGTAAGAGAACTGTGGTCATGAGAAACTCATAGTACAGTACCACCTTATGGAAGAGGGGAAAAAAAACAGGGGGAGTAGTCATGGAGGCAGAAGAGAAATTAAACACACTTAATTCAAAGGCACAGTATTAAACCTTAGTTTGCTTGCGAAAGCTATATTTGAAACTCATGTCTGATACCGTCATCCCAGTGCATCATCTCAACAGTTTTGCCCTCCCCTTAAGCCATAGCTTACAAGAATGGATCCATATAACATCTACATACAAGTTCTGTTTCATTTTGATTGTTTTCTTTTCAGGAAGAAAGGATATAAATTCAGTGCAAGTTTAATAATTCTGTAGTACAGACACCCCTTTGTGTTCAAAACCACACCTTCAATCCACAAGTCATAACATTTTCTTCAAAATCATGGAATACTTGGAAGACCAGCAAACATTAGATCTTCGCGTTTTCTGATTTAAGAACTCATGTTTCACTCATATCATGCTTTCAAGGTTTTCATCACCATCACATAACGGCTTCAGACAGTTTTATTTATTTTTATACTGAGCACTACAT